ACATGGAAAATGACCTTTAGCTGTAATGCGTTCATTACAGTCAGTGCAGGACAGCAGATCAGGCTTATTCCTCTGTCTTTCGCAGCTGTTAAACTGTTTTAAGCAGAAAGGTCGGCTCATTGGTGATATTTGACTGTAGGTGTACAATTCATGTTTGGATAACTGTTTACCTGTTATCCCATCTTAAGTCAGGTTACCCACCTTTCTGTATTCACAATAGACACTGCAGATTATATTAGCATACTACAGTATATAGAGACTTTTTTCAGAAGTTAATGTCAGTTCTTATACACAGCACAACGTAATAGTCAAGAGCAGTTGAAATTTTAATGCAACACGATTAATAATGGCCACTGTAGACACTAGTGACAAATGGAATAATGTTACACTAGTAGATTATACCAGCAGCACAAATAGGGAAGTCATTGTAATGCCAGTTACACAGCAATATCTCTCTAAAGGTTGCTAATGTTAGCTAGCATTAGCTGCCATAAAGCATTGGTCATACCAGGGGACATAGCAGCAAAACCCCTGAGTGTATTAAATCGAGCAAGGGTGCGTTTCATGGCTTATCGATTCAGCTTTTAATTTGTGAAAGAAACATTATTTCTCCTTTAAAAAGTTACATAGTCTCGCATTAAATCATCTGCACAGGGTTAGTGACCTGATGTGCCATGAATAGAATTAATATCTCATTATTCCCAGGATCTTACCATATGAAGGCATCTCAGTTCAGGCAAAGATGCTTGTTCCACTGCTATTATGCAGAAGCTGTGCCAGATTGAAAGAAGGCTCCCATATATTTGCACTTTGAGTTCAGCTTGACAGACAGCTGTGCTGAATTAAATACAATTTTAAGTGTGATTACATTGACCTTTGACCATTGACCCTTGTAGACTTAGATTCATTGACCAAAGGTTTCTATATTTACATTATGACATATAATATAATTTGTTTTATGTGTCTGTTGTTCGGTAAATTACGTTTCTTGTGTAGATGCTGATGTATTACTTGTCATGTCCAGCAGGTGGGAGGCTGATACTAGTGATCAACCGCCTTTCATACACAGACAAATAGTGGAAGTACCACCTCTTCTTCTCTTAGTTTTGAACAAGATTTTACTGACACTGGTGGCAACACAAGCAAACAGCCACACAACTGTCATCCCGTTTTCATTCAAATCTAATTCAACTCTGATTGGGCCGCAGAAATACATAGCATCATGTTCCTCTCAGTGAGCCCTCCACTTAAAATCAGCAAGTAAAGAAAGGCCACAAAGACAAACACTGAAATCTCTCATGTATAAAAACCAGAACTTTTTCAACTTCAGCAAGAAATTTTGCATCCATGTCGCTCATAATCAGAAGCTGATTGGAAGTCACGTTGTTCTATTTACTATTGTAATATTGAAATCTTCTTCTCCAGAAAGGCCTGGCTTTATACTGATGAGGACTGCTCATAAATATATATAAACCTGTATTTAAACAGGAAAAGTCCCATTGAGACACAATTCAGTGCTTCTTTGAATGATATAAAGCATGCACAGAGAATAGAGATGAAAATGTACCGGTTAGTTCCATACTAATAAAACATCATGCAGATAAGAGCAAGGCTCAGTACCTCCCTTTAATAACTCAGGTGGTTTCACTCCTGCTGTGACTCCTGCCAAATAGCAATATATCCCTCTGAAATGTCAGCAGTAATTATTCCCGTGCTCTCAGACAACCTCTAAAATGAAAGAAAGCAGGTGTTGATCATGCACCGTCTGCCTCACTCTGTCTGTCTCTCTCACTTTGTCCACACATCTGTACTGTCCTCTACGTCACTATTGTTGGAAACCTCTTGAACTGCGCTGCTGAATCACCGGCAGTTTGTGTCAAAATCTGTGCTCCCCTGCTCTCAATGAGATACAGGCCTTTGTATTGTGGTTCTGTGTATGTGTGTGTGTGTGTGTGTGTGTGTGTGCGCGCACATTGTGGTCTGGGCCAACTCACAGCGCAGTGAGTGGTGTCCTCTTATTGGTCACCCCCTGCTGTTCTGTCATAATTACGTGGAAGGAGAGAACAACAACAGCAGGTGGGACTGGCAGACACAAACACACACACAAACATGTATGTCACAGCTCTCCAAAATGGAAAAAGCTAACAGGTCAACTGGACCACTATGTGGACAATGTAAGCTTTCTCTCAATCCACTATCACCATCACTGTGTGCGACACACAATCTGTGTATTTGTTTTTGTGTATTAGAGGGTGATAGAGGGAGGCACAATAAACTTAAAGTACAGCACATTTATTTATTTGCATTTGCATTTTTTTTTGTCACATTACCCCATTATATTAAAATACACACAATGCTGTTTTCTTTTTTCCCCTTCAAAATGTAATTTAACCCAAACAGGTTCAAGCAATAGTTCAACATTTTGGAAAATAGACTTATTTCTCTTGCCAAGAGTTAAGATGACCCAGCTCTGTGGAGAAGTTAGTTTATTAAGTAAAGCAAAGAAAACAAAGACCAAACAAACTGAGAGACTCCGCGCCTGCAGAGCTGCATGTTGCTGCTGGCTAAGAGAGTGAGGGATGGCGACAGAGGAAGAGCCTTTTGTAAGGCAAGATCGGGGGCCACTGATTAGAGAGGAGGAGTTGGTTGATTGGGAGCCTCCTGAAACAAAGAACAAAAACCAGCGACAGAACACAACATAGATCATAACAACGATTGATACCACTCTCACGTCTGTTAAATATGAAGCGACAATCAGCACCCCATTAACTTAGCTTAGCATAAAAACTGACAAAAGGGGGAAATTGTTGATCTGGCTCTTGCCGAAGGGAACAAAATGAGCAACACCTCTGCTATCTCCTTTGTTTTATTTGTCCAGGAGCCAAATATAAAAAAATTCACAGACTGCTTCACATTCACATGCTGACAGACTCAACAAACTGATCCTCAAGGCCAGTGATGTTGTGGGTGTGGAGCTGGACTCTCTGCCAGTGGTGTCAGAGAGGTGGATGGTGTCCAAGCCACTCTATGATGTGCTGGTCAAACACAGTAACACTTTCAGTGCAAGACTCATCCCTCCAAAATGCACCACAGAGTGCCACATGAAGTCATTCCTGCCTGTAGCCATCCAACTCTTTATTTCCTCCCTCAAAGTGTCTGACACATGGACACTTTTAATGGGTCAGACACTGAGCAACACAGTTAGTTATTAAACTGGACCTTGTAGTGCAATGCTTCACATTCTGTGCAATATTCTCTGTTTTAATATTCAATCTGCTTCTATTTATTCACTACTACTGTTCATCACAATTCTGTTAGTAATGTAAATATTGTACATATCCATACTCCTTATATTTCTTTCTTTATATTTTTATTTAAACAGTCAATACAACATCAATACAATTGAGATATTTTTTTACCTACCAACTTCTATTATTATTTCTATTCCTTTATGCCTTCATGTGCAATGTGTGCAACCCAAGAACTTCCCCCTCGAGGATCAATAAAGTATTTCTGATTCTGAAACTCTAGGAAGTCACTGCGCCAAGCCAAGAAAAAGTTCTGCATGTAACCCCCATGAAACCAACTTTTGGAAAGAGACAGACAAGCTGTTTCCCTGTTTCAAGTCTTTATGCTAACTATCCCCTGGCTGTAGCTTCATATATAACAGTCAAGACATCTACTCATCTAACTCTTTGCAAGAAAGCGAATAAGTGCATTTCCCAAATGACCGATCCTCTGTTTAGCGCACTTCTTACTGTCATGCAGAAGTTGTTTTGTGGCAACTTCCTCTTTCCCCACTGGAATCAATTTGCTAAGATTAACTTGAGATGCACCAGCTGTTTCTTTGCATACTGCTGAGGGACTGTGATGTTATTTATATGTTATCTGAAGCCCCAGCAATTGGACTTTCTCCTGACCTATAACTGAACCACATCTTCGTCACTGTGCTTGAGGCAGAGTCTGTCCAGTGTTATAAATTCATTCTGCTGCCAGAGTTTCACGGGAGATGCAGTGAGAGACTTTCGAAGGACCTTGAAGGGACAAGTATTAGCATAAAGTAAGATACTGGTGCAACTGTGCAAGGATGTGCTATGACTTTATTTTAATATATATTAAAATCCTGTAGCAGTGAAGTAAAAAGAGTATTAGCTAACAAACAATTTTCTGGGTATTTTCCTGTGAATATTGGCATTCTATAACTATAATAATATAATGTAAAACTATGTAATTCTGTCAGATCTTACCTGTAAATAAATCTGCTTAAATACACACACTACTGCCTGACAGTCTAACTTTAGTTACTCACTAAAAGGCAGCTGTCTCTTAAAGTTTCACACACAAATTGGAAAATAGTAATTATTATACTTTTTGGTGATGCGTTGAAGTTGCCAAGTGAAAAAACAGTAACTTTATCAATAATTGGTGGTAAAAGCCAGGCAATTTGGGTCAATTAACTTAATAATCCCCCCTATGGCTTTCCTCCTCATTATTTTCCTGCAGCAAAAAACAGCTCTGTGACTCCACAAAAGAGTGCATTTGTAATGATTTCCCAACAGGTCCCATGGTAAAGAGTGGCTTTCAGCTAAATCAACTGAAATGTGATCATTAAAAAAAAAGAAGAAGTATGGATTCAGACGATAAAAGCACCACGGAGTTGTCTAATGTTCCCTCAAAGCTTATAGTTGGTAACAACTCTATGTTTCACACTGAAATAATAAAATGTGTTGCACCAGTCCTTGGTTTTCCCTAAGAACTTTGTATAAAGGATTGATGGACACTCATAATATTTGCCCCTATATGCATTTGAGTTTAAACTCAACATTTTAGCACATTGTTTAACTTAATTTAACTATATCTTAATACACGTTTAATTTGAAAGTTTTTCGTTGTGTTGTCGCTTATAATGATAAATAAACAACCTTTGTACCTTAAAACCCTAAAGTTCAGGCAAACAAAGAGCCAGTGAAGGCACCATAATAATTGGAGCGAATCGACATCCTAGCAACCGCAGACGCCAGCCTCTGCGTCCTCCAACTGTGGATTCAGTTTTCTGAGTTTTTTATTACCTATATTACCTTTTATTACCTTTACTGACTGATTTTTTAAAGCCGAGAAGATGGACGTATCACTCGAGGCACAAACCAAACCACTTTCTACCTTGTCGTCATTCAGTTACATCCCAGCGCGACGGAAGGAACCGAAAGAAATGTCCTTCTTTAACAGAGACTCAAAGGTGACGAGTTGTTGACAGCTTTGCTAAGATAATCTCATTGCTAATGTAACAGGTTACATTATGTTTAACGTTAGATTCCTTCTTATACTGTGACAATATCACAACAGAAAATATGCCTCATTGGGGAGTAACATTAACTAGTTACATGTATGTAGCTTAATTACAAAATAAATGTAACGTTTACGGTAATCCGCTGCCCTGCTGCAATATGTTGAATAATATTAATTTTGTTGCTTGCATGTTTTTCATGTGCACAATGTCTTCCTTCCTTTGCCATTAAGTAAAGTTTGATGCTATTCTGATGCTTTTGACTTGTTCTCATGTTTGATTTTACAGCCATCCATCTGCCAGTTACACTGCCTCTCAAGCTGTCTTTTGGAAATGGCTAACAGTTGAAAACATGCATTAGAAATTTGGAAAAGTAATTATATGTAATGTAACATGTAAATGTAACACTCTGATAAAGTAATTGAAATAGTTACACTACTATTACATTTTAAATAGCATAACTTGTAATCAGTAACCTGTTACATTTCCAAAATAACCTTCTCAACACAGCTTATGTATGAGTGGAAGTCAGGGAATATTATTCAAATGTAACGTTATCTTAGAGACAACTCAGATTATACAGCATACTAGATTATATTGTATCTCACTGACAGCTTTTCTCACATGCATTAGATAATGATTTGCAGATATTTTCCTCCACAGCAAACCCAGTTGTAAGTCAAGTTAGTAAATAAGAAATAAACTGTCTAGGAGGGAATGACACATCTGATTCATACCTCTTAGTTATGGAAATACACGAAAAGATCATGAAGCCACAAAAGAAACCTCTGTCCAACAGTGACATTACTCTGTTGCCATGTGAGGATCTCTTTTAAATGATTCGTAGAAATACCACTGGTGACTGATTCACCACTGTGCTGTTGGTTTTGTTGTAACTTACTTGTGAGAAATTTATTTATTTCCAGGATAAAAACCCCTTGAGATGTACCATCTCGTTTTTGAGGGGGTCCTGACCAAAAACACACAATAATATAAAAATACACAATATATACAGCAAACATCAAACACACAATAGTAAACATTTCAAGAATACAAAAAACATGTGCCTTGCACATGCCACAAACTCTAGACACCAATACACACAACACTAATAGTAAAACAGTAAGTAACAATAGTTAACAGGAGCAGTCTGTTGTAAGGTGAATGATAAGAGCATTCTTAAATGAACCTAGATACTTCAAAGATGTCAAGAAAATTGGTAGATTGTTCCAGTTTCTAGGAGCCTTAACCCTAAATGCTTTTTTTCCCTATTTCTTGTGCAGTTTTTGGGACATGAAAAAATAGATTGTTATTGCTTCCAAGATAATAAATATGATTAGAGTTATGCAAAACTCTTGTAAATAAACAGGATATTTAAAATTAATTCATTTGAATAGAAACTGGTACCAGTGTAACTGTCTTCTATTATCAAGAGAAAGCCACTGCAACTTACTTCAACCACTTTTGAGAAGAGATCACTGTGATTGCTTCCTTCAGGTCTACCTCTACCTCCTGCACCTTGCCCAAAGTGTAAAAAGAAAGAAAAATCATCCCCTTTTGGCTCAAGCCAGGCTTTGAATGATAAACACCTGTTCGCTGCCTCTCCATTGGTAGGCCCCAGAAGTCTTCATGTATGACCAAGTGTTCCACCAGGCCGAGGGTTATGATATGAAACTGCACCGAGATGACAGGACACACCATAAAGGGAGAGGACTAAACATAAACGAAGAGGTAATGACTGCACTTTAGTGGCTATTTAAGCATCTCATCTGAACTGTTTCAGCTTGCTGATGAACTCAAACTTGAGTTAAACGAATCTGACAAGTGTATTCAACCTAGCCTCAGCAAGATATTGGACTTGTCCCGGCTAGTAATTGTGTTAAATGGTCTTTATAATTCTGCTTCTCATTATTTGAAAAATTGTAGATCCTGTAGTAATCCAAACTCTGTACTGGATTAAATTGTATTCCTTGTTGATTGTACTAGAACATTGGATTGTAGCTGAAGTCTGTTAAGGATCAACTTATGGATCAACATAAAATGAAAAAAGACTTGCTGCTTAGCTTTACTCCAGTCACATTTATTTGGTACATTTAACTACTTCTACTTTACCAATTCACTACATAAATCCTATTCCATAGTAAAAGAAGCCCTAGAGCTGCCACACATGCTCAAGTTCTCACTTCTATTGCTGTTGCAAGCAGCTGCTTAACATACAGCTACCTTAAGAATTGGTGTGCACACCCCACAGAGAGAGAGCTGATCCTCTTGTCAAAGACTGTGCACATGTTTAAATCAACTTCAGAAATGATAGACTTGATAATATTAATCCATTTTACTATTAATAATATTTAATAATGTATTAATAATGATTAACTGTTTACATCTCACATATTGAAACACTCATACATCGATTCAAATCTTTCATTCCTTTTGAGTTGACCCAGTATGTAATCAATGATTATCAATGGCAATGACAATCAATGGTAATCAATCATTATGTTGTCCGGGATGGCTTTCATATTATGTTCCCCACTGCAGGCAACATGTTGAAAATGACTTTTCCTGTAATGGAGTCAGGAACCATGTTCCAGTCTCAGCATTAGGTTTATCAGTCTTACTTTCTTCAGCCTCTTAATTTATCTAGAGGTTGCTTTACACGTGAGCATAAGCACTAGTAAACATCAACGTCAGTGGACATATAGTACTGACCACCCACACAGACCGTAGAGCAGTATATTATAAGCAATACCACTCTACTCAGCTAATATTGGTGTTTCCTGAATGCCAGCTGCTTATTCTTGCATACCAGTACCTTTAGATGACATTGGCAATATGGCTGTTATAGATGGAAATGTCAGTATAGGGTGACAATTCTAAAAGAGCAAAATGCTTCATTTCTGCTAACATTTCTTTTGCCATGTGGTGGCCTCATATATCTCTAGGTTTTATGGCATTTGTTTATTGTACCTTTTGAAGCCATTATATCTCCATAGAGTAATTATTCATGTCAAGCAAACTAGCTCACAGTGAGTTTCTGGGTCACTGAAAGCAGAGAGGGTGGTGAACAAAGCATCCACACACACTCCTGAGATTGTAATTACAGTGAGTTGAGTGGTTGGCTGTCAGCTCCTGCTGAATTATGACGTTTCTGTTCTGCAATTCACATTTGAATATGAATTAAAAACTATTTATTGTATAAACTATTCAAAGGAAAATTGTAGTGGGTTATTTTTTGTTCCTGTTTCCACTTAGGCTGATGCAAATATAAACCCACCAGTCAATCTGCCACAGCCAGAAGTAGGTAGTGTCAGCTCTACAGAAAGTTAGTCTGGCCTCCCTGAAGTCAGAGGCTCCCAGTGTTCAAAAATCTGCTGGCTCACACTGAGACACACTGCTGCCCTGGGTAATACCTAATACACCGTTATGGCTTAGCTAATAGTTTCAATTGTTGGGCCTATTTTCACTCCTGCCAATATTGTACCCTATTACATGGAATGGCAGTGAAGAGGCAAAATGAAAACTTAAGGCAGAGATGGAGTAACAATCAACTCAGTTCTGACAGAGTTCTTTTTTTTGTGCTTCAACTGTAATGCCTATCGCTTTATAACATCATGTTTTGCTATCAAAAACAATCCCATAACAATGCATCAGAATAGCAGCAAGTTCAGTACGATCATAGAATAAGGAACCTGATGCTGTATACTACCCCTGCCTTTCAATGCTAAACTCTCAGCATTCACTGGACACATTTGGGGCTAAAATTGCTCAAAGCATCAGTACAGCAGCACTTGTAAACATCTACCTTTTAGTACGTTCAAAGCAAGATATGACATGACCATTTAAAATGATATACAAAACTTTGTGGGCATGAAACGTCCAGCTCATGCCACTGTACTGGAATTAGTGGATAGACCAAGTCAAAACATTGCCATTTATGGAATCATTATGTCTTGTACTATTAGCAAGTAAAACCACTTTTGAATTTAATACAGAATAGTGAGTACTACAGTATACCACTATTGTAATGGCTTAGCTACTAACTTAATTTCTACTTACAGTGATCTAAACAAGCACCCAAACAAGCAACTGTATCATTTTATCTGATTCGTTTGATGTATAAACAGAGGTACGTTTGTGATTATAGGTTTATAGTTTAATTTGTATACATCCATTTAAATGTATGAATTGTCACGGACAAGAAATTACAGGTGGAAATAACACTGTTGATGATGGCTCTGTCCCACTTTGGTGACGTTAGTTAGTAGGCCGGGCCAGTAAGGGAACAATACCTGGCCCCCCAGAACTGACATACCTAACTGAAATGCAGCCATCATTAATGTTATTATGAACCGATCAGATATTTTCCCCAAACATTGATTCTGTGTCTCTCTGCCTTACTGTCCTGCCCCAGGAGATGTCCAGAGTTGTTCCTGTGCGCTCCTCTTCAGAATACGGCCGCCGTCCTGTTCCCGTCCTCTACCAAACAGGCCGGCAGTACAAACATGTGGCTTGCATCAAAGCTGAATTTTTCATGAAAAATGGGATCATCTGGAATGTGGCAGAAGGATACGGATCAGTGGCCCCTATTTGAAAGCCTGAAGTCTCCCAGCATGAGATGAAAGTGTTTCTTCTCACGGTGAAAGCATTTACTAATAAACCCGTGTTGCAGAGCGTAGATTTACTTGATAGGTCCATTGTGAAAGAATTCAACCATCATTTAATCAGACGACATAGAATCTTGATATATTATATACTGGTAATTAGCAAGAAATATAGTTATTTTAAGTGAAATATTACCTGTCAAAAGACCTTAAAGATTAAATCAGAAAATATGAAGACAGTGACATTTACCAGGATCCTCACGCTACATTTTCTAGTTTGAGGCTGATATCACTCCGTCTCTATGAACGTCCTTTAAAGGTTTAGGTGGTACAGACACTCTATAAATCAAAAAATGTCCACCAGTGATTGCAGCTCAGTATTGCACATATCAAAGACCAGAGTATTGGTGTTCAGATTTCTGCCTTTAGTTTAATGTTTGTTTACTTTGAGGCTGAAGGTCCTGGGTGACGGTGCACATTGTGAATTCTTAAACTGAAGAGGATTTCTTTATTGAGCCTGCCACTTACTACTGAAAGTCGGGATAAGATGAATCTACATAAACTGTTTACAAAGAATTGCTCCAACCAAAACCATGATCATTAGTTCTGAGCAGATTCACATTTATTCTAACCACCATACATCACCAGTACTTGATCTCTCCCGTTTTCTGTCATGCAGGTGACTTCTTGTTACCCTTGCCTTGTGTAAACAAAGTTCTTTTCGTGCATCGCTAACCTCTTTGATTTGCAAGTTCTTGAATTCTCTCTGTGTATAAATTCTGAACCCACGCAACAGAGACCACCCTCCTACATAATGGGATTTTATTTTGAGCACAGACATGTCTCATTTGCTTCTGCTTTTGTTCTCTGGCTGAAATAGACCTAATGTTTGGTGTTAGAACTGCCGTGTTTATTTAAGGGGTCCAGGAGCTAATACACAAGGTGGTGTTTCAAAAGCAGAAAGAGAAAAATAGCTGACTGAAATAAAAAGGTTGTCACACAAATCTTTATAAAACAATGGTTTCACTCCTCAATCAGAAGATTCATCCTCAGAGATGTCTGATTAGTCCTGCAGTAAATGTTTCTTATTGGATCTTAGTGCATTATCATTACTCTATGGATTTGCACTACAAATCATTTCACAAGAACAAATACATCTGATAAAGTTGTGATAAGTATTCATACAAACAATACGTATTAATAAGTATTAACAGTGACAATTGGTATTTGTTAACCAGAGGATATATTGGTAAGTGTGATAGTTACATAAGTCTAGATGCTAACGTATCATCATAATAGTTTTGTTCTCTACAGTTTGAGAAATACACTTAATCGCTTTCTGGCAAGAGTTAGATGAGACTATCGATACTACTCTCATATCTTTCTATTAAACACAAAGCCGCCAGCAGTCGAATAGCTTAGCTTACCACAAAGACTGGAACAGCTCGCCTGGCTCTGTCCGAACATAAGAAAATCTACTTACCAGGAATAAAGCTCATTAATGAACATGTTATCTCTCGTTAGTTTAATCGCTGCAAAAATATAATCTGTTGAATGGCTCCATTAAATAAATCTGCCACATGAAAACTTGTATTGTGCCTAAATCATTCAAACTAATGATCTTACAAGTGTTTGACTCTACTGTGAGCACATGCTGTGAATGTTTATACTGTGATGGGTCTTTCATGGTGCACTTGTGTTTAAAGCGCCGAAACAAACACACGCAGACAGAGGACCTCAATTTATATACAAATGTTTAATGAATAACAAAATGATGGCAGTGAGCATTTACACGCATTGCTGTTGGTTTGGATCCAGATGGCTTATAAAAAAGATTTTCCTCATGAATCCTGTGCTTGAGTCAACCTACTCTACAGTGGGACACAAACGCAGCTCAAGAAGCTATAAATACAGTTCACAGGTTTTGGCAAACTACCCATCACACTGGTGATTTGTTGGCATCAACTGCTCTATATGACAATAAACTATTGTAACATCCATTTGGAATAAAATGGAGCTCAGTCAAGTATAAGGCTCTGAAGCACTGCAATGCTGGCATGGGTAATTAGCTCCACAACCCTACTATTGTACAGATGGGTGACTGCGGTCCTCAAGAGCTGCACTTATTTAGCAAACCCCTCTTTAGTCAGGCACTCCTTTAGACAGTGAAGTGACTCCTCAGAGCGAAGTCCTTGTTACACTCGTGATGTAAAATCTGTCCAAAATGCAGCGTTGAAGGACTGTGGCGGTGCACCCCGGCCCTGCTCCACATTGTGTTGCTAAGGACAAAACTGGTTCTCAACAGTTGTCTATCCATTGTACTGCTGGCTTCTGGTAATGGGGATAGTTACGGAGCATGACGGATCATCTCTACGGCCACTGCGTGTGTGTGTGACTGTGTTCTCAAGTCTTGCTCGTTCGGTTAGTGTGGCTCGCTCAAGGCATCACAGTCCCTTGTGACAGAGATCGCGTCATCTCTGTGTGAACAAAGTAGGTCTTCAGCTCTCCTTTGCCCTTCACGTTGATAATGCCTCGACATGAACACATGTACCCTAGTGTTGACAAGATATGACTTGTCTCCTCTGTTACCTGTACAGAAAGAAAGAAACATGACCAGAGTAAGAGGTTTACTAGCACGCTGGAAGACATGCACCTGTACTGTGTAAGATGTCTCACCTGTATTTTTCCCAGTACCCCCGTGGTCTCCATCCTACTGGCCACATTCACACTGTTTCCCCAGATGTCATACTGAGGTTTCTGGGCTCCAATGACCCCTGCAATCACTGGCCCATGGTTTATCCCTAGCAAGAAATAGCAACTCACATGTGTCTGTGAGAATAATCACATATCAACTTTAACTTTTGTGCTGTGAAGAAATGTTCTCACCAATTCGGAGTCGGAAGTCATTGAAGGAGTGTTTGTTGATGACATCTAGCTTCCCTACAAGAGCAAAGGCAAACTCCACCATGGTGCCAATGTGCATGTACTGTCGGTCATGTTCCTGAGGGAAAGGCAGAGGGGGAGAAGATAAATCAAAAGTGCTATCTGAGCCATGTTTGGACCTCAATATGTCATTGTCAAGTTAACAGTAATAACTTTGGGATGGCTCTAAATACTGTACATAATGATCACCATGACTGGCAATTTCATGTAGTGGAATTATTATCATTGGTCGTGTCTTTCAAGTTTCCGTTGATTGGTTTTGATTGGCTCTACCATGTTGAAAGTGTGCATTGGGCACTAGAAAGAGCAACACTCAGCATTTAAAGAGTTTGGAGGGCGGCGTATTTTTAAAATCATCTTTCAAAATCTGAAAAAAATGGAATTAATAAGGAATGGATTAAACACTGTATATTGCAAGATGTATTGTAAAACTGCCTACATTTGCATGTCCACTACACTACCTACAGTAGTGACAGAGGCCAAGGAGCACATCATTAGTTTAACAGTAGCTACATTATTTTGTAGGGTTAGAGGGTGTGTTAGTAAAAGCCCCAATCAGGACATGTTCACTGTTTCGGAGCCGGATGCTAACAGCTAACGCAACCGCCAAACTTGTTACCTGACAGAACGTTACATTTTCCATATTCATTAAAACCTTTCCTCTTAACTGAAATATACCATTTTAAAATATGATAAAACAAACAAACCCCGGTGTAGCTTTTCCAAATACATTTGCTTCTGTGTGAAATGAAATACCCACTGATACAAAAATAACTACAAATTTAGAGTAGTAAATCTGCCGTGTAAACTGCATTATGTGTGGCGCAAGAATGGAAAAGCTTGACAGGCATAGCAACTGTAACTAAGGAAGGTGGGGTTTAGCAAATTGTCAATTAAGCACCAAATGATTTTCTACCAATCATGGGGATTTCTTTTCAAAAAAAATGTGCTGCCACATTTCTGACTGATGATCTCATTTGCTTCCAGTGACTACACTGATGTATTCAAATGAGCGTAGTAATGAATCACTGATGCTTGAATGTTATGCGTAGCACAGGAGCGACACCCACACAAAGCTTCCAAATGTCTGGACAGCAATAAATACGTTGATGTTCAAGCTTCATGCTGTTCTGTGACCATAAATAAAAAATGACAAGTTCAATATTAAATTGAGCTCAGGCTGCCAGAACAGTTTTGGCACTCTGAAATGGGGTGACCATGTGCAAAAAAGGCTCTTGTTCTTTGCCTGTTCTTCTATTATCAAATATGAGCTCTATTGAAAGCTGGGCAGCCGGAGCTTCACCCTTATCAGGTGAGAGTCACTTGGTATCCAATGCGAAGGAAACGAACATTGTGCGTAGCTGTCCATTTATGTCCACGCACATGCGATATCTGTGTGTGCATGTGTGTAAAAGCGTGCCTGTGCGCACTCTGGTCCTGGTGTCACATTGAGTCCAGTTGCAGCCATGTAGGTGCTACCGATGGTCTTTATCTTCTCCACTCCGCTGAACTTAGGTTTGGAAAGCAGCTGAGGACAAATCAAGAACACAGTACATAACATAACATACACAAGAGTAAGAAATAACACCAGCTCGCGGCCAATTACTGGTACATCTACATGCTTCTGGGTGCTTATGCTAATTCAGATGACAAGCACTCAGTGTGGCTGAGTCTCAAAAAAGCAGTGGGACATTATTTTGCCACATTGTCTGACAGCCAGGATTATCAGCCTGAGAGGAGTTTACCTCATCAAAGTCTGCTATGATCTCGTTGAGAAGACGGAGGCACTCCAGTCCTTCCTTATTGACATCAGACTCAGTATAAAACTCTTTGAAGTCTGGGATGGAGGCGAACATCACACACACGGACTCGTATGACTGATGATAAAGGTCCTGATAACAAGCAAGAAGAAGATAACAGTTGGATGTGATGTATTGGTCGAACACTGGTAAGGAGAAGTTAAAGATGAATGAATGAGTGAATTTCAATGAGTCTCAACTACAATAAGAAAATCTGTGAGCTGAATACCCTGAACAATGACACTGGCTCATAAATGAAACTTCAATCATCTCTGTGGGGACACTGGGTCACCACAGTAGTAACACAGCAATTCATCATAAGAAAGACAGACAGTAAAACCGATGCATGAATAGAGTAAATGAGAGTACCGAGTGTAACCAAACATTTACAGCACTGGAACGAATGAAGAAGAAATTTTGGAATGGAAAGTATGTTAGACAAAAAGGCTACTACAGTGAAACAAAGAAAATGTCAAGAAAATGTGTTGCGTTTATGCGTTTAAGTATAATGGGAAAGAAAATGATGCAACCAACATGTAACAGCTGTGAAAACAAAAGAATATGCTGACAAACGATGTGAATCAACAGAACATACAGAGTATGTAGATTTGATCACATATTTTCACTCACATACTTTCTTGCAGATAGTTAAAATGTCAAACTGTTCCTTAAAGTATAGATGGGAATAAAACACAAAAGATAAGTACAACAACTCAACATAGATATAGTGAGACATTTCTCGGGAATTCACCTCGTTTTTCCAGTTGCGTCCCAGGAAGTGCTCGGCGACGTGAGCAGGTAAGACGTTCTCCAGCAGAACCCGATTGAGGTTCTCCATGGTTTCGATCTCCTCGCACTCCCTCTTGAACTTGTCCCTCCACAGGAAGTCCAACCTACAGTAATATTCATTCTGTTACAGGAGGACACAGAGTAAAGAGATACCTGCGTCATTCACACCCAGCACTGCGCCAAAGCTACATGCCACAGAAGAAACCTACACCAAAATCAAGAAACGAAAGTGAAAATTTGTTTAACAGTCAGTTAAATTCTGGTTTGTCGTTTGGCCTGGAGGTGGATCAAAGAAGCCACAAAAGTAACTGAATCAGTCTCCACTACAGTAGTCCTTCAGTCCATGATAGCATTTCTTAGAAATAGGCTGACTGCATCATTCTCTAATCATTGCCACTAAATGATCCTGTGCAGGATTTCTGGGAAAACATAACCAACTGAAACTAAAGGGCTTGCATGGTATTCATAGAAAATTATTGTCCCAATAAGACAATGATGAAACTGTGTGAGAAGCTCTGCTCTCACTGCCCAGGGAAATAGTAAGCAGGCGGGACTGTTTTGCATAAAAGATAGACACTTCTTTATATGCTTAGTTCTCTATGCTTGAGGAAGTTTTCTATCAACAGGGGTCAAAACATCCCAGGAGTGTGTGTTTGTGCATCAGACAGGGTCCCCTGAATACACCATGATTATGCTCGTATATATATGAAAAGCTCCAGGCTGTCTGTGGGCTGTGTGTGTGTGGGAGCGTCTCCTGTGAAATACATTTCATGTGTGTTGTTAGCAGTCTGGATGATGTATGTGCACACTGAATACTTTCCCCATTGAGATTAAAGTATGGTGCCAATTTAGCGTAGACCCATTCTGCTGTGCAGAGATCTTGTGCTATAGTGCTCATTGCCTGAGGCTGAAATAGAAATATGGACTAGCTTCCATCCCTTTTGGGACACTTAGTCTGAACTCTTTGTGTGTATGTATGTGTATGTACAGTTCGAGCACTTGCTTCTCTTGTGGTGAGAGGAACTCCAGTACCTCCATTGGTCTAGAAAGTAGGCCAGGAGAAACGAATCTCATTCCAGACGCCGTTGAGAAACCAGCTAACAAGCCTGTAAATGAGCTTTGCTCCATCGCGCATCTGTTCTTGAGGGATGAATTACAGATGCCTTCGTTCTGATAACCTGCTTTCTCCTCCCTCTGACTAAATGGCTAGAAATGAGCTCATTAGGGTTGATGATGAAATTTTTTGCAAGGCCAAATTTGTTGATAGCAGGCTAAAAGCGTGTAAAATGGATGGTTTTAGGCCTTGTGCCCTCATCTCTGGACATTGATTTACGAACTTCTGCGTCAAGGGCCTCGAGTGACGCCACTTTTAACACCTTCTGACCTGTTTCCAGAATTATTCTGGTGATAATTGATGAAGCATTTTACTGCACTAATTTATACCCAAACAGCATCCGGACGGACATAACCAATTACCCATGAAGAGCGTTGATAAAAGCGCAGCACGGAATAAGATACGACAGTAACAAAGAGTTGTTTCCAAAACAAATGCCCCACCTCCCATCTGGTGACAGTGACCCAGAATGAGAACAACACATGGAGCTGTGGCTCTCAGGGGAGCCCCAGTTTTGGGTACAGAGGCTCTGGGGGGAGTCTTTCTGTCCAGAATATCTGCTTTGGGGTCAGAGCTGATGGATGGTTTTCCAGAAAAGATAAAACATGCACACCAAATCTGTGTCAGCTGAGTTTAGTTCTCATATGAAGTGCGGATCGTGGATGCAGAGGAGAGGGCCAGGCTGGCTGCTCCAGCACAACAAAAATGTGCATCGGAGCAAGAATTTTGATCTTTGAACATTTTTAGCCAAATCCATGAACGCAGGTTCACATGCTTCCACATTTTGTTGTGGAAAAGAGTGAAGATCATTTCAAATCCACTGGTATCAAATCCTTTGAAAAACAGTAAAACAAGATTCTGTGCCAGCGCTAATGAAGAGGGTATAGTGAATGACCCCAAAAAAGTTTTAACTTCAATGAAAACATAGGCTATGTACTGTATGTCACTATTACATAATGATGTCTAGTTATGTCATTGTGGTGGGCAGGAAGACTGCTGACCTGCCTGGCTAATACCAGTAGGGTGATGAAGAAGATGAAAAGAGACACAGAGCCCATCGTCTTTAGATCCTTCAGAACTCCTGGCCTGCTCAGAGGGACAGAGAGAATACAATTATAACAATGTTGATCATCTGGTGATACTGTATGATCAACAAATCCCATGAAAACAACAAAACCAACAATGAATTGATCAAAATAACTTGTTGTTAATAAGTTGTTGTTAGAAAAGGCTTGATATAGCATATTCCTCTGTGCCGGTTCATGGTTGTCCAAAAACACGTAAATGCTACTACTACTACTGCACTATTTCCTCCTGTTTGAGTAACATGTGCTCTGCGATGGACTGGCGACCTGTTCAGGGTGTACCCCGCATTTCGCCCAATGTAAGCTGGGATAGGCTCCAGCCCCCCACGACAGGACACAGGATTAGTGGTTGACGATCGATGGACGGATGAATGGAGTAACTAAAAACAACCAGCTGTTTAATGGAATTATATTTGTGATTTGATTTCAGACAATAAGAATAAGTGTATCTATATGAATAAATAAAAAAGACCAACTAATAAATGAACCAACAATTAGTTGCTCTTATTAATCATTTTGTTATTTCATTATTAATTTTCATTATAACAAAAATGTACAGCATATGATTTTTATTTCAGTTCCTCTAGCTAAGAGGTGGCTACATTTTGAAAAACAGCATTTAAAATAAAAATTTCTATCATGGAATTAAAACTAACTCCCCTCCCCCCTTCAACATTTACCCATGTACTCCTGCCACTATGTAATTTTCCTGCCTGCCTTACCGCCATTATTTTCAATTAATTTTAATGCATTGTGAAAATCAACTTAGACTCTTCAAGAGAACATCATATCTGCTTTAATTTATGGCAATTACTGTATTGTGTGGTAATAATGTGGGGAGAATGACCGGCTAATTTTAAAGGCTGAGCCTCATTACCATGAAGAACTATGTAAATGGCACAACACTGAAGCGGACATGAGGTTCGTTAGGATGGACTGCTAAACTCTGCTACTCTGTAAATGAACAGGATTCCTTGCTTTTTTTAAAAACATGTTTGTTTAAAATGATGGTATGCCTTGGAAAATGATCAGCAATAATGTGTGGTATGTAAATAGACACAAAAATGAATAATAACTCAAATGGTCTTTTAAACATTTTCACGTGCCTGCTTATTGATGTAGATATACAGTAAGTGGACCATGAAAATTATGTAAATTATTTTTATTAAAGTAAATTATGCTAGCTTTTACTGGAGTACTTTAGAGGAGAAACCCATATGAAGTCAGTCCAACAAACTGCAGTGAGACATACAAACTAATACCATGCCATGGTTACCATGAAGATATCTTTCAAGGTAACTGAAGTGTAAATTGATGTTTGCCATGAAAAACGCTTTATTCGACAGTCCTGGCGTATTTCCTTTTCATTTAGCACTGCATAATATAACTTTTCTTATTTATATGGCCCAGTTCTTTGACAGCAACAGTATGTCATGTTTATAAAGCTGAGGTTTGAAAGAGAAACAAAGAGAGAAACATGAGAGCTGGAGAAAAAAATAAAAATTTTCACCAGTCTTTCTGAGCGCTCTGAAAACTTTCTGCATAATGGGATTTTTTTTTCAGCACTGAGACTCCAGCTGTCAGTCAAATGTGAAAAAATGAATTCAGCTCCATCAACACAAACTGCTGTATCTCATTCTGCCACTCATCATCCTGACTCTCCGGGGGTTACACTTGATCGACAGTCATATGGGATATTGCTACCTCAGTAGTTCCCTCAAGACCAGGGTACAGTCTCCTTAGTCATTTTAATAGGCTCTGCTCACCTCATGCGAGCAGGCGGCAGGGTCGGGGGTGGTGTTTCAAGCAGATAGCATTGACCTTAAGTGGGCCTAATAATTGTTTCATTACTGCCTAAAGCAGAGAAGACAGAGAGAGAGCGAGAGAGAGAGGGAGTGTTTGCAGGTACCTTTCCAGCGTAACTGTGGGGTACAGCGCTTCGCTAAATCCATCCAGCAGGGAGGCATGTGTCTGGAGGATGATGATGTTGTAGATCACCACGGCAACCAGCATCACCACCATCTTCAGCTCATAGTTGATCCTCAGGAACACCGAGCACGACACCAGGCCCAGTATACAGCAGTAGATGAAGTACTGGAGACAGAAAGAGAGGAAGAGAACATGGTGACCAAACACCTTTTCTCTAGAGCTGAAGCACCGCGCGGCCTCTGCACTAGATAACCCTGGTACGCGACCTCGTCATGAAGATTTGTGTCACGCACGACGCATGTATCAAGCTAAAGAAGAAAAAAAAAAACGTAGCTTTATTTGTTCTGTGTTCTCAGTAAATGTGCTGCTCAGCCAACATACTGTGTGGTTAGGAAGCAAGAACAGAACCAGAGTTTGCATACTGACATAAGAATGTGTCATTATTCTTATCCAACACACATTTTGTTTATGTAATACCAAAGAAAGAACTAATGGTAATTCTGTAAGCCTCGACTGTGCCCATTAAGAGTAAACAGGACAATGAATGAAAGCTTTGAGCTTTAAGAATTCCCCAATACGATGCCTTTTTTTCCTTGCTTGGTGTGAAAACTTAAGAGATTTGAAACGGCTGCACAAAAGTTTCCTTGTAAAACTGGGGGGGGGGAAAGCATGCCGTGTCTTAGAATCATTTTTTTTTCATGGTAAAGAGACACAGCTGACCACATGGTTCTGTGTTCACACCAACATGTGAGCAAAATGCGTCTATTGACAATTAAAGAACAAAATGTAGTACAGTATGGGCTGTGAAGAATTAGTATAAGCACACGTATCAGTTTTTGCAGTTTTAGATAAATCATTTAGATAACTGTACAGACATTAAAGCTGCTTTTTGAATTCTGGTGGTCAGTAATATTTATCTTCTTCCCAGCTCATGCTGTTGACCTCTCTCTGTTGTACTTACTGGCAGATAAAACTTGTTTTCTCCTGTGTTTTCTTCCGTGTAGTCCAACAGGCTGGAATTAGTTAGATTCACAGGTGGAGTAGTTATCAGGACTTCAGGTGGAGTAGTTGTCAGTTCGTCTTCCCCGGATCCTCCCGGATCCTCCACAAAGAACTAACAAACAAAACAGAAAGGATGGAGGGCAAAACGTTTGACCCATCGCTTAACTGTCTCAGCAGCCAGAACTGATTTACATTCCGTTTGCTGAGTGAAAATTTGCCCTGACGACAAGTTACTAAATTAACCAGTCTCAGGCTAAAAAACTGTGAAATTATGTTTTCATAATTTGGAGAGATCAGCAGAGCTGGATATAGCTGAGTGTAGCAACACTTCCTATAAAGCCTCTATCATTTTAATCTTCACAGGGTTGAGTTAGAAGAGAACATAAGTCTTCAGGTCACTGAATTTAAATATCTCTATTCAGTACATGTCCCTGGGTCTTTTCTTTTTTTTGTTTAAATGAGACAATTACACATGTTTATTGTGGGCATTATGCACCTAAATACCAAGACAAATTCCTTGTATGTGAAAACCTACTTGGCAATAAACCGATTTTTGATTCTGATACTTAGCTGATCATTTTTAAACAAGCGTTCCTCCTGTGTGCATCACCAGGTGCAATACCTCTAGCACCTATAGCAATAAATAAAAGGATAGTCACAATAATCTGCGACCACGGTAGATAATCAAAAAAATGTGGGATTCAAATACAAACACGTTAAACATTTTCTGGTGTTTTGTAGCCTGTGTCAATTAGCTGTTCTTCTTATCGAATGGTTCAGAGATGCACAGGTTAAATGTTCTGATTCTTTTTTTGTGAGTAAAATTTTAACAACTACACCACATGAGCTGTGGGGATTAATTGCACTTTTGATACAGTTTTTTTTTCTCTGTCGCATGACAATAATGTAACTTTAAAAGAAATTTGACAAGCAGTAATGTGACCATAAATAATGCTGATGAAGCACAACAGTAGGCTTACCATGGCAGACTTTACGTTTCATGTTAAATCTTCCATAAATTATAAACACTACTGCTACTCAACCTCAAGTACAGCCATCTTATAAAACAATGATATGTATTATGAAGGCTTATAGCAACTTCTATATTGCATATTGCTTAAGTACTGCATGATGCAGTTATGGACATCATTGAAAGTGTTACATTTGGTGTTATAATCAGACTATAGCTATGAAATACAGTCAAGAGGATCTTATGTTGGAGAAATATTAAACAATTAACTATAATTCAGTGTGTTTTCTTTTTTTGCATAACAGCACTCTGTTTAAGTGATTTATTAAAATATAACTTGCAGGAATGTTTTACTGTTGAAATGTCATTTTAAAGGTGCCTTGGCTCTAGCAGCATTACGTTAATGGTAGTACTTTTCTCCTCAGTATGACTTAAATCAAATTAAATAATCAAAGATTATATTATTTCCACTGTACTATTGCAGCTACTGTTAGGACATGCAGTGACTTAGACTGTTCCACAATCACCTAATACATCAGGCGACCAAACACATCTACAACATCTTAACCTGCGGCTTCTCACCATATTGAAGACGGCCATCACCAATATGAGAGCAGTGGTCGTCATGGTGAGGACCAATCGCAGCCAGGGATTATTGGTGACAATGATGTGGGAGGAAGTTGGGAACCAGGTCAAAGAGCAGAAGGACCCCTTCCTTCCCTGCTGAGGATGCAAAGAAAGAGAAGGGATAGTTAGAACAGGAAGAAGCAGAGGACAGACCCAAAGCACACCTCTCTGTAGCAAACAATTAATATTCTTCCTGCTCAAACTACTAGAAAATGATACGTCTGGTCGTTATTTTTATAGCGCAGCTCCGTCGATTTTTACTACGTCTCATCAGATTTAAAACAAAGCCAGGAAGTATAGGACCAAGGCTCATCTATCACATATATGACAAACAAGGCGGTGCATCATTAAAAATCAACTGGAGTAGTGACATTACCTTTTGTTGAAAAAAATACTCAAGAGTTTTTTATCTTCCTTGAGGTTTTCTGTCAGGTGGATGCAGTGGCGCTTTCTTCGTAGCAACAGCTAAGCTCATTTGACTTGAAAAGACATTTTCCAAGAAATGCGTTTGATCGCAATAGCCGTGTGATGCACTCTTTCACAGATGAACAGAGCACGTTCTTTAACTATAATATGACCCATTAATAATTACTTACACAAACCCAATTGGCGCATGGAGCTTAAGCACACACACACACACACACACACACACACACACACACACACACACACACAGGGCCTCTCAGTAGTCAATTGTGTTTTTTCACCAGTGACTATGGCGACTTTCAAGAAGAACATGTTTAGTATTAAATAAATGGTTCTTATTGAAGCAGTGCAGAAAGCTGGGTCTAGGTAAGGGCAGACCCAAGGTTAGTGATAATCCCCCTTTAATGAGACGTAACCCACTTACTGGGTGACAGTAAAAAATGGAAGAAGGAGGAAAATGGGCTCTTAAAAGGAGAAATCATTAATTTATTGTCCATAAAACACTTGTGATAGGTAGCTGTAGCAGCTTGTTAACAACACCTATCCCTGCACTTGTGCTGGATAACAAACCACAGCAGTGAACTGAAGGATGACGTCTTGTATAAAGGAAAATAAAAGGTTGGTTAGCTGATATAAATCTCACATAGAGTGGCTGCAGTTGATACAGTGTTCAGACAACAACAAACTGCTGTTGGACACATCTGGTCAGCCCTTCAAAAAATACACTCTGTATATAGAACAAGTGATTTAATTATTATCTAAATGGCTAAACAGCAGAAAGTAACATTATACATTACAGCTGCGTGACTCGAGTAAAATTTTTCTTAACCCCTGGTTCTTAGAGTCAATATTTGTGCTTAAAGAAGGTTTAGAAGTACTAACTATGACATGAAATCGATTTTTTTCTTTTCATCATAGTTGTTTTTGATTATTTATACATAGTTTGTTGCTTGTTGGATAGCTCAGGTGAGATGATGGGTGCCGAAACAAAAGCCAGCGGCAGTACAAATACATTTACAATACAGTTTTTGTCAGGCGGTTGTCTAGTTTTGGCACTTACATCCAGTTTCAGTAAAAAGTTCTTTATCTATCTTGTCAAGATGTATCTTGGCATTAGATGAAGGATAAAGGATGCAACTTCTTAGAGTTTTAACGTTGAACTCAGTGTTGTCTAATGCACACTTACTACACAGGAGTGTAGGAAAATGAATTTGTGTGAAAGAAAAGGAAAGACTGAATGCACCCTTGTTGGAGATGCAACGTCCATTCATTCACCCATCGTCAACCGCTTATCCTGTGTACAGGGTCGCGGGGAAGATGCAACGTGAGGCATCAAATTCACAACACATATTTATACTAAAGCTACAGGCTGCTGCCAAATCTCAAACAGCTGAGACAATTACCAGATTATTAACTGATAAAAAAACAAGCCTTTAATTAAACAATATTTGTCAAAACAAAATAGAAAAAAAACATAAAACATTAGATGGGTAATGCAAAGATAGAGAATTCAACCTTTCCTTCTTTTTCACAGTAGTTTGCTGAAAGTAAATACTTTACAATAGTACAGCACTATAATGGGTCCAGAGGGTATCTTTTGAGCTGCTCACAATTTTCTCCATCATTTTGTCGTAGGAGATCAAAATAGGAGATTTATACATGAAATCATATTCTGGAACATTGAAAGTCAGACACTGCTTTACGCTTCAAATGCAGATATTCTGAATGATTGAGGCAAACTACATATAGCATGTATAGTATATGAAGTATATAATAATATAGTACTTATACGTCACAGACATATATCAAGACATATGCAATTTTGTGTAATGTAATTTTGTTTGACAGACTCAGTGTTGCATGACTGTCTGCAGAGTGGGAATACATCAGTTCTGATGGATAGATTATTATGGCATAGGCATTTCTACAGGAAACTTCCGAAGGCGAAGTGTTAATGACATGTACTTGTAGGAAAAGGACTGTGTCATCAGCAAATAGAAGACAACTGGACTATGTGCGTACAGGATTTCTCACTCTTAACACAGATTTGGCGTGTGTGTGTGTGTGTGTATACACATTGATAAATCCATGTAAACCCACCAGAACGTGACCAGCAAAGCAAAGGAGCAGGATCAAAGCCAACAGCAGGAATGTCAGGCCAAAGGAGATCCCCAGCACAGCAGTTCTGCAACACACACACACACACACATTACTCTAAACCCTCTTGGCACCTTTCGGCCTTCTGCAGTGCCATCCTGGGCAATAAATGTAATGAAGGTTCTAATGTATTCTACCTCAGACCTCCAATCCATTTACACTGAGTAAGCACAACCGTGGCTTGTACAGTAGCATACTGTATGTGCTTCATAGTGCAGCTGCATTCACGTAGCACTTTTTCTAAGGAGGAACACAGTATGGCTGATTTAAGGATCGCTGCCATTAAACAGATGATGTCACGTCTAAATGTGCGGAGCGATGCGGCGACACACAGAGCAAAGATAAAGAGAGCGAGAGAGAGGTGAATTAAACAATCAATGGCCTCTCAGATGCTGATTTACACCTTTGGCTCCCAGAGGCAATAAATTAGCATGGCTGTGAATTTCTCTCCCCCGCCATTAAAGAGACGACACACTTTGATTCACCTGATCTATAATCACTACCAGACATGGTGCCCTTTCATCTCGACCTGCTTTTTAGCATTCTGCCTCTTGCTCCCCTGCCTCTTTCATTTCAGTGTGGTTCTGTTGATGAGACAGCTGGCGTCAAATGGCTTTTTCACTTCAACCTGCCGCCACAGCTGGAGTTTGCTGATGCTATGGGGGACTGTGCAGTGCAAATCCTGTAAAGTGGTGCAGACTTACTTCGGCAAGACGAGGATCTGCACGATGAATATACAGCAGAATATGAGGCAGGCGCAGGTGACATAGTACTTGAAGGCTGGTAATGTCGTGGATCTGTACTGTTGAGAGAAGATATGGCACATATGAGGATGTGTAATGTAGCAGCAGTAAAACATACTAAGGCATCAACACTGAGCATGTACAAAATCAAAATATATCAGCTTATGTGTGGAATGAAGCAACAGCAACCCATAAATTAGACAAATGTCGAAATGAGTATAAGTTGTAGTATGGAATACATAGTGAACAGTCTGTGTCCTGTCAGGTTGCACAACCTCCTCATGACTTCTGTTTCACTGATAACAGAACAATACAGATCCATTGATTTGTTTCCCCTGTGCACAATGCTGGCTGCTGGTTTGTATGCATTCACCTACCTCTTTCTCCAGAGCTTTGTTGTGAAAGAACAATGAGATCCTCTGGATGTCCTCAGACTTCAGCCACTGTCTGAAGACACAAGCGAAATACACAGAATCACACAACACAGTGGGACCAGGCTCTCGGTTGTGTTATGTGGTATCTGAAAACTCCTCATGGTGCTGCAATGAACCAAATACTAATGTATGAACTGAATTACATTTTAAATTGTGCAAAGACAAGTGAATAAAGCCAGCTTTTTCTTGGTGCGTCGGCCCTCTGGCTCTGCCATAGCTGGTGGGTTTGTCTTGCCCTGGTTTGCTGGTTGCACTTTGGTTTGCCCTTCAGGTCCTGGTAGGCAGAGGCTGTATTAGTGCAACTGGGGGCGGTGCACCTGGCCAGTAACTCTCTTGGGTGTAAATTACATTAAAAATACTGTTCACTTGAAAAAAATATCTCAGCATTGTGGCTATTTATTATCTAAAATGCCTTATAAAAGGACAACACAGGAAATAACTGTAATTTACATCCTTATTATGTTAATATGTTGCCAATAAAACTGCTTTGTCACATCTATTAAACAGGATAAAACCTGCATCTTAAGTTCATTACACAATAGAACCGATATTTTGTGTTTCCATTGGCAAATGTTGTGGATGGTACCAACAGAACCATTCCATTCCAGTTTTTCAAACATGCCATCCCATCGACTGAGACAAAGACTCCACACAAAGTCCCCTTGGTGTAATAAACAGTACATACAGAGAAACACGAAACATTCAATGTTCTCCATTGTGTTCCTTTGTTTACAGTGTCGCATTAGATATCATATCACACTGCTGTCGTGGTTGATGCGGCTCCATCCAGTAACAAACCGTGTACATTTAAGAGTCCTGTCTGCAGTGCAGTTCAAGGGTACTATACCAAAAGTGTTTGGTGGAAATGTGGCTTAAGTCAGTTATGGCTCCATATATAATAACTACAGTACCACAATCAGAGAGCAGAGCGTAGAAGCTGATGTTTCTACCACTAAGTACTGTCAAGTACTACTGTATTGTCAAAAGTGATGCAGAAATAGGATGTCCAGCAGATATGATGCTTACTTCTGCGAGTTAATGCCGTCGATGGTGCGAATCATTCGCTCATTGAGTTCCTCCTCAAACCTCCTCCTTTGTGATTTGGACCTGGGATCGACAGGAGGAGGGATTTAAACATGGACACAGAATAAAAGTGCTCCTATAAATGTGTTATAAATGCAGTAATGGTCCTAGCTCACCTCTCTCGCCTCTGGAAGTGGTACTGCCCCATTGGAACGTCCTGAGACAGCAATGAGACCATTCAGTTACTCATGACTGATAGCATCTTTGTGTGTGTGTTTGAAACACAGAGAGCACTGCATTGTACTCACAGTTGTGTTGATCTTGCCATTGTCTGTAGTCATGCTATCTCGATGGTGAAGGTTGGCGAAGGGCTTGGCAGCACCCCAGGACTCCAGGTATCGGGTCATTCTGACAGACGCCCTCATCTTCCCACCATCCAGAGAGGGACGAGACCGCACACCCAACAGAGGGCTGTGCTTTTCAGTCTGGGGAAACAACAGGAATAGACAAGCTCGCAGGTGATCGTTGACATTTCTTTGCGAGTGGAATGACTCCGGCCCAGCCGAGTGAGACTATGTCACTTTTGCTGCACAGCGGCCACTGTGGACTGGAAACATGTGATGTGGTAGAAAAGAGTCAGCAAGTCAGCAAATTGACTCCGTAATGTCCATTTTACCCTAATCTATCTAAAGTTAGTTAACGTTAGCTAACATAAGATACTGGTCTTAACAGACCGATTAAGTTTCACCCTCAAAACCCCTGACTATATATATTGATTTTATTGCTTACAGATACCAAGTTTTGTTGTTTCAAAAGTTACATGATCTCGCTTAAACACTTTCGTAATCTATGTTCATACCTGTAAATCTGAGACCGCCATCAATTTCAGTTTTAAGTAATTTACTCTCATTGTGAATGTTTTTAAAACACACTTTGTTAATTAATGTCATGCAAACAACGATTGTGATTAACGTAGGTGTACAATACATTTAATGAAAGTGAAATGTCAAATGCCAATTCACAATGTCAATATCTCGTAAGACCACGTAAGTTACCATTTAAAACAAATTAGAATGGTCTACATAACTTAGTACAAACATAACATGTACAAACCTTTATTTCCCACTCAGTAGGTGTAAAGTAAAAAGGACTGGGTACTTTGGGAACACTGGTCAATTGACAGCTCTTGAAATCTGTGACCTGCCTGTCGATGTTCTGAACTACTTAAAACACTTTTGGAGAATGCTGCAGCTATCCTTTTATTTTGGCATGTATGCTGAGTGCTTCTCTCTGACAAACACCACTCCACTTCACTGGCCTGCATAAAGCCATACAGCAGTGAAAGTGAATTGATTTCTTCTTTTACCAACTTTTAGGGAAAATCATGGGTGATTTGTCAGATGATGTTCCTTGTTCCATTCTTCTGGTTATTTATTGCACTTGCTGATGGAGATGGGTATTGTGACGGGCCAAACATGGCACATAAGCCTGTGAAAATTGAAATAGACACCGTCCATAATGGCGGTGTTCATTTCCCGCGGGTGTACTGAACAGCTGTGACAGTGACAATCAATAGCAATGACAATGATGGTGGAGATGATACCTCCTGCGACCCATGCTCCTTATTTGGCCTTGACCAATTCAGGGCTTCTTGAAAATGTCACTGTGCACCCACAGCCCTTTTGCAATATCTGAAAGGAGATTGAAAACTCATCTCTATTACGGTAAATAAAGGACACAGTGTAGCATCTTGTCATATTTTGCAGAGACCTCCTATAAGGTCATAATGTTATGTTGTAAGAAGACAAGAAGTTACCACAATTGAAATACCCAGAGGCTCCGGGAAGACTGCTGGTTTACTTAATTAATGTAAGGCTGCATGTAGTATGGCATCCTAGACAATCTGATTGGTTAGTGTCAATCTTGATCTCTTGTGAAATTCACTAATACAGAGCACAGAGAGTGCTAATAAAAACGCAGCATGCAGCTTGTATGATTGCCCAAATAGCGTCTCATTTCAAAACTGAACAACTCAGCAGAGGAAATCTTGGAAACATGTTGTCCACTGATAAAATGTGTCAAGTATGTCAGCACAGATAGATTCTTCTTCTTTTACTGACATTCTTATCAGGACTGGACTGGGACAAAAAATGGGCCCGGGCATTTTTGACACCCCTCGTCAATACACCATGCTTCCATATAACATGTGTACCTACTGTAATATTCCCCCAAACCAGCTGAGTGGTATGTGCCGTAGATAAGTGTACCAGTGCAAATTAATCAGTGTACTCACGTGCAATCATTTACTGACTCCATGGTGATGAGAGGTGGCAATGGAGTACACAACTCATACTCATGTACAAGTAGCCTACAAGTAATTTTCACAGCAGCGTGGGATTAGCCAACACGATGCTGACAAAATAACCTCACCTCAGCCATTAGGACAGTTAGCCAAGTTAAAACTGCATTAGGAAACTATGCTAGCTACAAAAACAATGTCTAATAGCTTATGCAGCGCTGTATAACAGTGAGTTCACCAGCAGCAGGTGAAAGTCTCACTTTTATGATAGAGTTATGATAATGGTATAATCACTGACCTTAATTGAAGTAATCATCATCATTGTTATTACGGCATGGCACACACCCTACCCACGGGCATCACATTTATTGATGAAATATATGATTGGGGGGGGGGAGGGGTCTGGTGGTTTCTCTCCCAGAAAATTTAGAGAATTAAACACTTAATTTCCTCCATTCTGGAGACATTTTCTGCACCAATTTATGGTGAAAATGTCTTTATTTAAATAAAGGGAAACACAAAATTCAGGTGGCCGATGACAAATCAGCATATAAAAATATAATAGAATATAATGCAGTAATCAGTTTTTAACTTAAGTTACTTTTTTTGGACAACGCAAATTTCTTCTATATTTACAATGCATTGCAGGTTTTCTTAAAGTGCCAATAAACCTTTCTTATAGCAACATTTCTTCATGCAAGTTCTATTTTAGAACATTTTAAAAAAAATGCTTTTTAAAAAGTGATGGGGAGAACATCTGCCATCTCAAAAAGTGGTGGGTACATGTCCCCATGTCTCCTGCTCTCTCTCTCTCTCGGCCCTGTCACTGCTTCTCTGTCACATGCCTCCTCCTCTGCCTGGCAGTGGCCATAGCTCTCGATCCTGCCTGTGCCTGTGCTTCCACTACGTCGTGTAATGCAGCTGATATTTGCTACTGCAGCCCCAGTAGCAAACAGATCGGTTATTTTCGCGCATTTGGTGTCCTCCATCTTAAGACTATTTTCTTTGGCCCGCAATGCAAGAAACAGAGGCCACAGGAAGGGGTGGGGGCTTAGTGGATTCTTTTGTTTGAATACACTAAACATCTGACACTCCTGCGTGATAAAAAAAGCATTGTTTCCACCAATGTGTTGGTTTTTCTTGCAAAACCTCAAACAGACACTGGTGAGAATCCGGGAATCTTCACTCTGAGAACTGGGAGAGTGTTTAAAGTGATGACTTTAGGGAAAGCTACCAAACACTGGTCAAACTCTTTGGAGAGGAATCAGAAGAGGAAAATGAGAAGAGGAAACAGATGCACTGGAAAGCATAAAGGCCTAAATTCTTGAAAAGAGAGATGCCACTGAGAACCCTGAGGCCTATGAAGCTAGCACATAGTGAACAGAGGATGCCTGAAGGAGAAAAAAGGAAGGTCTCACTGCAGATATATAAGGGGGTGGGTGCATCTTAGCCAAGTTACGGAGGGATTAGGGAGGCAGAGGACTGTTAAGCACGGTTTTTCGTTTGCCAAGCCAAAAACAGCAGAGACTGTTTGCCAACAACATATTCTATATAGAGATGTTCTCTGCAGAAAGTTCACAGAAGAGGAAGATCTCTTAAACGTCTTTAACCAGCCTTTATGTCCTGCTTAGGCAGGAGGAGCAGCATTATGCCTCAAGCAGCGAAAAGGACGCTTGACTGAACCCTTGCTGAGATGTTGTTCACTTGATAACATACTGTCATTGGTTCACTACACACTAATATTATTTTACTATACTTGACACTGTCAAAACTGTTTGCCTACTATGCTCTTGGCAGGATGAAGAGTGGGATTTTTTTTGTGAAAACTTGATTTCACTCAAAACAACAAATGTCTAACTGACGATAGATGAAAATTCAGGGGATCACCAGTCAGCGGGCTTCATCATCTGGGGACCACCAATATCTGTACAAAATGTCAATCCATCAAATAGCTGCTGAGATATTTCAGTCTGGATCGGTAAGTGGTGGCCTGACAAACAAACCTACTGCCATTCATATAGCAACACCGCTAGCATGCCTAAAAACTGAGTAATCTAAGAAATATTATCTGTATCTGACCTTGGGGTTGATGACCAGGAAGGTGACCACTCCATGTTCTTTCAGGTAGGAGTCTCGGCTCTGTCCGTTTCCAGGCTCCACCTTATATGAGCCCTTTAAATGCTCCAACGTCACCGAAGAGATGTGGACCCTCCTAGAGAAGAGAGAGGAAAGTATAAGGGACAATGAGAGGTTAAGAGCTTGCGTCACTGTTTCATTAACAGCTCTATGAAAATATGTTATTTTTCTTTCTACCTTAATAACAACTCTAACCTGCGATTCTCCTTTTTTCAGGTTTGCTTGTTACCCTTGCTAACAGAGAGGCATGTGGATGGGAATGTGTTATTTCATCGGGCATATTTTACAGATACCTTTCAGCAGGCATGAGAGGAGACAAACCATTAGCAGCTCAGTGAGACAACGTGGTGCCACTGGAGAGCTATTTTCAATGGAGCATACACATAACCACCTGCCAATTTCCCCATGCTTGTTACAGTGCAAGGACGACGGCAGACCTAATGGCCGCGTAACACATGTAGAACTGATTGGTGAAATGAGGTGGTTATAATTGACTACAATGTTTATAACAGGGTAGACAGGCATAATTATTCCATGTTCCATGTGAGTCTCTGAACGTGTGCATTTCCTGATACAAAACAAGTAACTAATGAGCCAAGTTATTAATACAGAAGACTCATATGTACATATTTTCAGCTGAGTGGTGATTGTGCTTTTTCTTGGTGCTGCTGCAACACACATCTACAGCTGAGGGAACAAGGGGGTGGATTACTGGGGTTCAGACAGCATTGATTTCAGAACACTGATACTGATATGAATATTTGTCCTAGGTTTGGCTGGCTGATCTATGATATCCCATGCTGATTACTGATACATCTAACCATTTCCACACCCCTAAAATGAAAAGAGCAAAAAAGCCAGTATTGAGTGTTATTCTTTTAAGCCTCCTTGAGAGACTAACTCTCCACTGAAACACAAGATGATGATGCTATGGCACTGTTGGCCATTGGGATTCAGTCACTTCTACTTTAGGCCACATGGAGCTGCAGTGGAGCAGATGGGAATTAACAGACTTGCTAAAGTGCGACTCAACGTTAATCACTGAGAGAGCAGTAAGCGTTAGTCAAATCCCAGCGCACAGCTTCGTCTCTGGCTTACAATCTAAAATTGGCACCCTTGCAGGTACATGCTTCTACTTTGCCAAACACACAAGAAGTACAAGGACTTGCAAAGCGGCACTTCAAATAGCAGTGAGATCAAGTGAAACATTCTTTGAAGTACTGGTTATATCTTACCCTGGCACACCTCCTGCCTCCATGTGATTGGCCAATGTTACATCATGTGACCACACATCATACTGCCACTTCCGGAGGCCAATGACACCACACAGGACATTCCCAGAATGAACACCAACACGCATGTTGATATCGACTCCGGTTGCATCTCGGACCTTCCTGTGGAGAGTAACAGAAGAATTCGTCTTTAAAGGGGTAGTTCCACCATTTTGGAAAATGTGGTTATTCACTTTTTTTCACGAGATGAGGAGATTATTATCAGTTGCAAAGTAGAAGTCGGAAGTTGGGACGTGGTTAGCTTAACTTAGCATAAAGACTGGAAGAAGGAGGAAACAGCTTGCCTTGATCTCAAAAACACACCTCAGGATAAATGCCTTAAAGAGGTGGTATTATGCTCATTTTCAGGTTCAAAATCCTATTTAGGGGTTGTACCAGAACAGGTTTACATGGTTTAATTTTCAAAAAACACCATATTTTTTTCATACGGCACATTGCTGCAGCTCCTCTTTTCCCCCTTTGTTTAACACTTTGTTTTAGCTATGGAGTGATACATCTTGTCTCTATATGATCTTTGTTGGGAGTTGCACATGTGCAGTTCCTAGTTAAGGACTACCAATCAAAAGCAGAGAAGGTCAGGGGTCAGCGAAAAGCCGGTAATAGCCAATCAGAAGCAGAGAAGGGCGGGTCAGTGAGACGCAAACAGGGCTTTGTTTCAGCTATACATGTTGGTTTGGCTGGAGCAACAGTTTCAGAGTGGTGAGTTATTAATCTGTAACAAAAGTATCTTTCATCCATAAAGTTTTAACTGAGCTCTGTCTCTACATCACAGTAACAACTTTATGTCCATTGACTGCCTGGAGGGTAGCTAGTGTTTGGGAGATGGGAACTCCCTTTGGGCTGGACTTTGGGCTTTTTCACTTTGCAAACCTATTACATGCACGAAAAAGATACATAACTCAATAAAGGAGAGGGAAAAAGCCAAAAAGCATATACCTCTTTAAGATGCAAGATTCAAGTTGGTCCCTTTACAATTTTTAAATAAATTTTTATTTAATCTGTACACAAAAAAATGTGTAAGGTTTTATGGGGAGTTACATGCGGGAACAATTTCTTGCCTAATCAAGCATATTCACCAAAATGTTTTTTTTTTAAAAGTGTGTATAATATTGTCTCTCATTGCTATTGCCAATGCTGCCAGTAACCAGTATTGAACTTTGTGACATATGTCAAAATGATTCAGTGCTTCCTCCAGAATTGAATCCTTGTCAGGGTAGAAAATCCTCCATACCAGCACTGAAATACAGACTCTGCTTCATTGTGTCAGAGGTGGACGATACCAAATGGCAACTTTAATCTGATTGTGATTAAAGGTCAGTGCCGGCAAGCAAACATGTTGGTTTATAAAACTAATGTGTGTGTTCATGCATGAGTGAAACACAGAGAGCAGAGGGGGAAGCTGAAAGGGGTGCTTCTTTCATTTGCTTGAAATTTTGATTTGTTCAGTTGGGAGGCTTATCATATTGAATTCACATTGTGTTTACTCTGGAGTTCAAACAGAGCTGGCATTCCTTCTGCTCAATCTGTTTGACAGGCGTGTGTTTGTTTGTGTTTGTGTTTCCGTTTGTGTGAGCGAGAGAGAAAGAGGAGAAAGAGAGATCTGGTATTTTACTTGATGGCCTCACACATATCCAAGCCCATCTTCACGCAGTTCCTGGCGTGGTGAGGAAGCGACTCAGGCAGACCAGAAACACAGTAGTAACAATCTCCCAGAATCTTGATGCGCATACACTCGTTTTCCTTAAGTAGAGAGAGTTAAAGAGGAGGCAAATGGGGATTACTTGAAACAGAAAGAGGTGTATGTAGAATCTGTCCAAAACGTTACATATCTTTTGTAACACTTAACCATTTCATTTATTAAAGGCCGCTTCTCTTTCTCACCTCCACACAACCCTCACACACACACACACAGTCACAGCCATCAAGCCCAAAATCATACGCCCACACACATAACACATTAGCTCTTATTCCACATGTGGGATGTGTAACAGCTCATCGTTGGATCGGGTTTATATAACAGCAGCTTTCATCAGGCAGGAAGACAGCGCTGCCGGACGCAAAGCTGAGCGAGCCAGACTCAACTGTTTATACCCGAACAGAGTCTCAGTGAGACCGTGAGATGCACTCTGACCAGCCCACGCTGCTACAACCTGTGGCTGTTAACACACACGGCGCTCTGGGAAGGTACAGTACGAAGGCCGAAACTGGCCGCAGGACAGAGAAAACACTTATTTCACGCCTGCGCTTCATCTGATTGACAGCACAACACAGACTCCGTTCTCTCTTCTTGGTTCTTTTGTTATTAGCCAATTTGTCCACACTACTGCAATTAAGTCAACTGATTTAGACTTCAGGTAACATTAGCCGATGTATTATATTTGTGAACAAAAAAACATGATTTTAAATCTTAAATTTATGTTTCCTATATTTTGTCTACCTCGTTCACATACTGTATAGGAAGGAGCATAAACACCACACAGAACAGTATAACGGAATCTAATACAAGCCAAAACAAACAAACAAAATACAGCTCCATAAATTACAGTTAAATCAACACCTCTCATTCATAGAGGACTGTTGTGAAATAATTTTTCCGGAGAGAATCCCTGGACTGGAAAAGCTGGGACTGTTAACATCTGCAGCACAAAGTATAAATTCTGTGTATGAAAAGTCTTGTCTTGAGTTACCTTTGCAATCTGGTCAAACTTGCCAAAGAGTTCATTCAGCATATGCACAAGTTCCCCTGGGGAGCAGTCACTGGCCAGCCTGGTGAAGCCCACAATGTCGGCATACAGAATGCTGCAGAACACAACAAGAAACATCAAATAACATTGCATATCTAGTTTCCTGTTGTGCTGTATGACAAGAGGCATAATGTTTTTCCATCCTTGGGCTTCATTTTATAAGTAGCAGTAATATGAAGCACTTCCATAGTTGTTGCACGTGATGCAATTGCTTTAAATTAACTTGTACGCAGTTCTTGAGCACCTTTACTATGGTACTGACAATATTGGAGGCAACTGAGAAAACAGTTTACCGCAGAAGAAGCCTTTGGATTCATACTTGACAAATCTAAGAGGTCTAATTGAAGAAACAAATGTGTTGCTGCTCAGGTTTCCAATGCAGTAAAAAGAAATAATGCAATACATTTTTTATGCTGGATTTTATATCCAAATTTTCGCTATTTTATCTGGACAATGCACCTAATTGTTGGTAGTGTGCACTTCCTTTTCTAAAAATATTTCACATTTACATTAGATATTTAAAAATTTAATTAAAATGCACAAAAAAGAAGCATGAGTGTTGCCAAATTGCTACATTTCTCAACACTGAAAAATATGGCAACAGCCAGTTTATTTGCTAAATGTGAAAAAAGGGAACTTGGGGCACTTACATACATTATGTCTCCAGCTCCTCATGAATGTGACAAGTGTGCAAAACCTCTAGATGTATCTGTGCTATTTCCCAAAGAGAATGAATGATATTTCAGTGCACATAAAACCACACAATATAACCTGTCTCTCAACACCAATAACCAATTATTACAGCTGGTCTGACAGGTTAGTGGAGGCAGTAGCTGGTGTTTGGCTCTCTACTAACTGTCTAGTAAAAGCAGAATCACAATGACACCTGTCCTTGGGTGTTTGCGCTTTGTTCTGGAGAGATTGCCCTCTTCACAGCCAGAACATGTGAGAGTTTGTTATTATGGAAGGATAATAGACAGATTAACATGAGCACACACAAACACACACTCACACCTGAGTCCTGCTTAATAGGGACATACTGTTTCTCCTGTCAAGCTCCAGCATGAAAGAAAACAGGATTTTCGAGGATATTCTATGAAGAGGCTCTTATGGTTAGCCTGGATTTGTTTCTTTGAACCTCCACAATATAGAGGAGGATGTCATCTAGAACAGAGGACATAGGCTCCTCTTCATTTGGCAAAGTGACCTCAGTGCAACGGAGGTGGATTATCTCTGAATTGAATTTGGCCATGGCAATGAAAAGGAATAAGAAGATGGGAGGTAGAGAATCCAGCAAGAAAGTAGAGGATGCAATGAGGAGCAATCCAAAAGTGAAAGCAGGTAGAGAAGGGAGGACAAAAGAAGACGAGGGATGACGGGGCACGAGGTGGAGGACAGAATGCTATAGCAGCAATGTAGCGCTGAGATGAGAACAGAAAATAATAACCATTATTATGTGGTGGCACAGATAAAAAAGAAGGAATCTCACCTGACATTGGTGTGCCGCTGCACATAGAGATTGTGGAAGTTGTTGGTGCTCTCAGTTCGGCCAAAGTTGGGTCCCTGCAGCCTCTGGATGATCTCGGCTTTCATCACCCTGGCTATGTGAGCCGGCAGTAGTGACAACAGTAAACGCTCCTGATGACAGAGAGAGCAGAAGGTAGGGTTGAAAGCTCAGAGGAGGCAGAGTCAAACAATGTAATGAAAAAAAGACTAAACAATGAGGTCTGTGAGGACGTTTCGCTTCTCATCCAAGAGGTTTCAGAAGAACATACTTAAAGATGTTTTGAGGCGATGAGAGATGAGAGGCAAAACCCTTGATTTTAACCTTCCTTGTAACAAGGCAACATAGTTCACTATGTTGCCTTGTTGACAAGATAAGGAGAATGAATGAATATTTGGATTTACACGTTAACATACAGTCACAGTGATAGAATAACATTGCTAAACTGATCCTACCACAGGATAATTAGCTCTCTGAGATACTATATGGGTCAGAATTCTCCATAAATTAAAAAGTGCTATTACATATCTAAGCTATTTGTTGAACCACTAATACAGGATTTTTTGTTCCTACACATTCAGAATCATCAATTATCATGCGGCTTGCTTGTAAAATGTATATTTTAAAGGCTCATAATTATGGTTTTGTATTTCTCTGTAATGTAGCACAGTGTTAACAATGTTACTTATAACATCCTTCATATGCCCTGGGACTCAAACCATTTCCTGAAGCCCCCAAAAAATATATTGGTTTTTTAATTAAATTAAAATTATAAACATTCGATGACTAGTGAACTTGAATAGCTACCAGTCGACTATGAAAATGTTTATTTGGGTGAAGCCATAGTGCTATGTAAGATGTTATTGGAGTTGCATATAACCAGGTTATTCTGTTCTATTTGATTAACCGGATAGACCAGAATATAATAACCCATAACTGAAGAGAAAAGATCAGTTATATTCTGCTCTGTTCACTTCTCTAATATACTGCATATAAATATAGCAATTGTCTTCCACAATATTTAACCTCCTTAATAGATTTTTCCTCCCTAATGATGGTTCCTTGGGGCTATTTTTTCAGCACTGAGCACAGGAAGCTAAAGTCAAATAGTGAAGAGCGATTGAGGCAAAGACATTTTCTTCATTTTCAAATATGCAAACCCGGCAGAGGAAAGCAATGAAACAAGTTCTGTCAATCATTGCCTGTGATTGTACATGTGAAACTTAATGAACTTAATGAACTAACTGACTAATCAGTGTATGTCAAGTTCCCCTAGAACTTGAAGTTTCAGCTGGAAATATCTTAAACATGACATGGTTCAATACGGTCAGATAACCCAGAACAAGAAATGCAAGATCTATCACCCATAGCCGTTGTGTAATCATGTGAGCTGTGGCTTTTTGCTTTAATTTAGCACCATACACACCGGATGGTGGGTTGTTGGTGATTTTGGTATGCGTGTGCGTGCGTGAGTGTTTGGGCATCTGTGTGGGTCTGTGTGTGTATATTAGAGCGAGTGAATAGTTGCCTGAGGGGGTGTGACTCATAAATGCGGCTAACAGCAGAGAGGGTCATTACATTGTTCACACACCACAGGCTCATTTCCTAAAACACAGCAGCAAATTAAGTAGAGAGAGGGGTTGGGGGGCGGGGGCACTATAAATAGAAACTCACACCACACCACCCGCACTTATTTACTTATGCAGCACTGAAGCAATATGAACACTCTACTGTGAGCGTGCAGAGGGGTTATAATAGCCTCAAGAGATGTGGCTTTATTAATCATGTGTTTGAGTAATGAACTAAAGTGATCTGAATGAGATTTGGCATTGTTTAGTTATGCACTGCCATTTGCGTGGATCCCTACACACACACACACAGAGAGTTGTGTTTCCATCACTTCAGAGGACATTACATTGACTTACATTCCTTTCCTGGATACTTACCCAAACCCTACCCATAACCGCTACTTGCCTCACCCTTACGCTACATCTTGGGATGTAGTCCGATCCTTTCTTCACCTAACCTTAATCTAAACCTAACCTTGCCCTTAGCTTAAACCAAGTCTTTACGCTAAAACGCAATGATTTAGGTTGGGACTTGCGTTTTGTCCCCAAAAGGATGGCAAGTCCCAACAATGTGACAAATTTATGTCTTCATAACATGAGTAATACATGTCATGTCCACACGTTGTGCACACACAAACACACACATAGAATATTCTGCCAACCTGTAGAATAAATGACACACAATCTGTCATAACTAACTTGAATAATAATCAATTTTAAATGTATTTGCATGTAATTGTAATATTTCTACATTAAAATTGTTTAGTTTAAGTAAACGTATATTAATGAAAATATAAATGACGTATTTATAAATTTTACAATTCCAAAGTAAATAATAATGATAGCTAATCCCTACTAAAAGAACCACCAGTTATTAATGTGTAATTTTATGCATCATTTCCCTGGTCAGAGAGAATGGCTAATGTCAGGGCAAAGAAGCTAATGTCAAGCAAATGTCACTGCATAATGCCTCTTTAGACATGTCTGACTTATGAGCTCCCCATCCCCAACAAAACTGAGAAGTGAAATATTTTGGCAATAAAACAGAATAAGTTTGAATTTCATTTGGGCTCTTATCCAGTATGTGTGGCCCTGAGAGAGACAAGTAACAGAAGCGTCTACAGCCAGCTAGCAGCTCTTTTCTGAAGCTTAGCAGGAATAATGTTTCCCATGTTCACCATATTAGTGTGGCTTGTTAGCATGCTAGCATTTGTTACCTAGCACTAAACACAAATCTGAGCCTGATGGAAATGTCGTTAGTTTTGCAGGTTTGTATTGGAAGTAAAATAAATTTTGATCTGACATTTGAAATTCATAAGCTAATGTCTAGTATAGATGTAAGTTAATAGTTTGTTACTTTTTACATTTTGTAGTCTTAAATTGAAATATTTTTAGTAAAACAGTAACAGCTTTAAAAGCAAGTTCATGTGTCAGTAGCATCCTCAGCAATCTGGTGACAGTAAATGACATTGAGAGTTTAATCACACGTTATTTTCAAATCTGTGTGTGTGTGTGTGTGTGTGTGTGTGTGTGTTGTGTACCTGTTGGTGCTTCTCAAACTCTAGTTTAATGGGGGACTTGATGCAGTTACAGGTGTCTTGGTAGGTCTGTTTGAGAGCCAGGTCCATTAGATGTTTGTGGTAGGCTCCGGCCAGGTTACCACAGGTGAAGATGATCACATTAGCTAAAATCTGCCACATACACCAAATGCACACATATACACACAAAGAATAAGGCATTAAAATAAATGTTAGGAGTTGACGCACGTACAGTACGTGTAAATTCCCCACTATGTACCTCCTTCCACTTAAGCCTACATTATTACCTTGTAAAACCAAGCCAGAGCACACTCTTCGACTGTGCTTTTCCACCACTATGTCAACGTCAAGCGCTTTAAAATGCAGCCTTGCATATCAATAGGTTGTCACTGGTGCTGTATCCAAGGGCAATGAGTGTCTCTGAGCGTGTTTTATTGTTCTTTTTTTCCCATTATTGGTCTGTGTTGTTTGCTGTATTGATAGAAGCGCTATAAGCTTTCTGCTTTGTGGAGAGACTTTCTTTGTTCCAACTGTGAGACATCGACTATTGTGTCCCTGAGCAAGACACTTAACCCCTAGTTGCTCCAGAGGCATGCCACCTCTGTACCTCTGTATTGTAAGTCGCTTTGGATAAAAGTGTCAGATAAATGTAATGTACTGTGTCAAGAGTATGTTCAGTCAGAGCCATTGTTTTAAGAGCTGTTGCCCGAGTACATTAAAAGCAGTTAATTTGACTCTGGAGGCTTTGCTGAATGCGCTGTGCCACGATGATACAGGATGGGCTCACTGCTTTACAACCCAGACCTTATTAAAATGTTATACCTCATCATGTTTAATTGCGCATGGAACAGCCTTATCAATTTCAGTTTCAGAAACTAACCCCTGTGCCACAGCTAATAGTGCAGTGAAGAGATCATTTAGGCCTTCAGAAAACCAAAACGGGAAGCTCGCAGCAGAGTCATCTGGGCTACATATGTCACAGAAGGAGGAAGTCGCGTACATTGTAGATTTCAACAGTCCCGTATTGACCTGCATGTTCAAAGGTTTGGGGTTCAACATGAACAATCATCTGTTTTACCTGCCAGACTAGAGGTTCCAGTTCTGTGACGGTGGAGGCCAGACAGATGCTGAGGGTGACAGTGTGCGAGAAGCAGGTGATGGCGCTGGCGATAATGGCCCCTCTCATGGAGAAAGGCAGCATGGTGTAGACGACAAACACGATGAACAGGAAGAAGGACACCTGGAAACAGATTAAAAAGTCCCGAATTTGTCTAAAATAAACCAGATCTGTTCAAAGCTCTCAATATTTCGGAATACTTTATGATAACTTCTAAATTTCTTAAAGGGTATTACAGTTTTTCTCAGTCGCTTTGGTGCATTCCTCGATTCATCCTTAACATTTCCAAAACAGTAAGTGCATTTCTCTAAACAGGTAGTACAAACGGCACAACACAGTGGTTTACCTGCAAAAGCCCATAACTTGCTCAAAATCCTTAGTCTATCTCTAATTGAACTTGTCAGTGCCATCAGAACGACAAGTCCTTGTGTCTTGTTTATGAACAAGCAAGTCAAAATGTTTAGCCATCTTGTCAATATAACAGTGTACTCTGTAAGTATTTTCTGATGTACATTTTGGCTAAGATTTTGATGACAATGATTGAAAATGCACAAGGCTGCCCTTTTTTTACTCATCATTTTCTCGTGATTTCGAGATAACCATAATGGTAATTATAGTGTGATTTGTTGTATCATTGGTTAGCTCACTTGGTAGAGCATAGGACTTATAGGTTTATGGTTGTGTGCTCAATTCTCACTGAAGACTAAATTTTTCGTTTATATTTTTCATAATCCTGTTCAACAAAGACTGTTTCACATGCTCACATTACTGTAAAGCACGTGCTGGACTCCGTGTGTTCTTGGTCCACATCCATCAACCTATGGACTTTTCATTTCCCTATCATTCCCAGGCAGAGGAAATTCCTTCTCATTCAGGGGAATCCATGTAACGTTACACATTTCCTGACGACTTTCGGAACCTTTGAAATAGCTGTCGGGAAATGTGTGATTGGATTCCCCTCAATCTCTTCATAACAAATTTGCTGAAGAGGATAATACACACAAAAGAAGAAAAAGAAAGTCAACAAGAACAGGAATCAAACTAATTAAACTGAGCCCTGTGCTCTACCAACTGAACTAACCAGTGACACTGGTAATTGCACCTGCCAGCCCCTGTATACAGCTATGGTTTGTTATCTCGTGATCACTAGAAAATTAATTATCCTGTTCTCAGTGGAAAACAACATTCGTTATATATATACACACATATATATTACTGCTCACTGTGTATTGTTACTGTTTACTGGTATTGAGTATTGGTATGAGTGTTGCTATTGTGATGTTGTTGTGGTCTATTCTTACTTTGTTTATGGACCTTAAGAAACAACATTTCGTTTAGCTACAGTATATACTTGTAGGCAAAGGATATGAATAAAGTATTTTAACTTTGATTTTTGATAACGTGTTCAACCATTTTGCATGTAGTGACAAATGCAATGAACTTATGCCTAGATGTTTTAGGGGGTAAGATTGTTCAACAGAGACTGGTATAATTCATTGTGATCAGCAGGACATAAGCAATTGATAATGTAGGAAACAGCAGACAATTGTTCATAATCATTTGCATCAGTGTGTCAAGTCATTTGCAATTTGTTCAAAACAATGAGAAAGTGCTTTTATGATGTGCACAAGTGACGAGATGATGTGGAGGTTGAAAAGTTAGTTTTGAGAATTTCAATTCTGATCTGAGAAATGCACCAAAGTGACTGAGAAAAACTGTAAATAAAGTAAACACGGTTTGAAAGAAACATGCAGGCAAAAAACATACACCAGCACTATGGGTCCATCAATTCTGGGCTGATGCATGGTCATACAGGTGCTGCAAAAGTACCAAAAATGACCAAAGCAATGCCTAAATATAGATCACAAGAAGAGATTTATGTATCTTCCCTCTTTGTCTGCTTTTTGTCTAGATACAGAATACAAGTATGCGAGTTAAGTGAGCTGCCCACTCTTCTTCACAAAAAGGTCCAATGATAAAGTGGTGATCTTAAGATAAATTATTAGACATGAGTGGGCCGCTCACTCAGCATTACAAACAACTAAATCCTGTGATGAGCTGCTTTGAAAACAAAATACAACTCATCAGAGGTATGACACAATGACTGGACTGCTCAAATATTTCCTTCCATATGGGAATAAGAACAAGACGGAGTAGAACTTTACTGTGGAAATTATTTAGACGGCTTTTCCTGCTCGTGTACTGTGATCAGTCCTCTCTTTCCAGGTTTCTATCAAAGCCTCTTACTGTGACCTTGTGTGTACGTGTGTGTGTCTGCACGATCCTGTGTGTTGCGCATATGTGTGTTTCCTACAGCGCTGTTCATTAATACCTTGTGCCTTAACCTTCTGCTTTGTCCCTGTCCACTTCCCCTGCTGTCAGTCCACCCCTTCCTGTTGTGTTGGCTGTGGTGGCGACCAGCACGATAGGGTCACAGTGTTAACTGGGACACCCGATGCAGTTTGACCTTCCTGCCTGTCTGTTTATCTGCTGTGCCTTTGAGGTTTAGGGACTCTGCAAACAGGAATCTACTGACAGTGACAGCTTGGGGTGAATCAGATTTGCTAATAAACAACTTTGCTTGGACCTGGACCCTGATGTGTGATGTTATTATACATATCCAATTAAAAAATGTTAATTAAAATACTTTTGGCTTACATTTTTAAGTGCAACACTTTGAGCAAGTGTTAGACCTGCTATGTGTTTCTGATGTCAACATTGCAAACATTATTTGCAGTGGCAGGTATACAAAGATCAAAGAAGAACTCCTATCACTGACATGTAGTGTTGTAGGAAGCAAAAACACGAGGAGAACACTGGATATGAGTGATTGTTTGGTTGACCGAATTCCTTCTAAAAGAAGATCTGAACACAGAGAACACAGACAGAGGTGTTTTGCGTAGGCTTAGACTTTCTGTTGCCAGGGGAACCAACATAGTGAAGGATGGTGACGTCGGAGCAGATGTGGTGTTTTGAAGGTCCTGTAAATTTTGCCATAACCTTCAACTCCTAACCCCGAAATCCCCCCCCAAAAAACGAAAAAACAGAGGACGTGTGACGTGCGGTCTGTTTGGGTGGCTGCGGGAATTGAGAATGGCAATCCAATTTCAGGTGCGTCACCTGCCTCTGTCTGCCTCGCAGGCAGCCAGAAAACACTCCATCTCCACAGCACTCCGGCCTGCATCCTAATACACCCTCAAACACCTCCAGATGGGGGCTGGAGCCATCATCTCACTTTGACTTCTTCGATTACCTTTTTTTTCTCCTTCTTGTTCTGAACGCACAACCCCTCCTCCTCTGAATTTCTGACAAAAGCAAACGCACGCTTGAACACCCCCATCAAAAACGTTTTGCTCTTTGCCCACTTTAGCATTTATGAGCTCAGCACCATTTTTGGATGCGAGCACCCTCGCCTCACACACGCGCACACACACACACACACACACACACACACACAGTTCAATGTGACTGTGTCTTGATTCCGGGGCACCAGGTGTGGCAACCAGGTTCAATCGGCCTTCTGGAAAGAGCTGTGGCCTTCAGAAGAATTGAATAAAGCCCGGACTAACGGAGTAATGCAGCTAGATGGTGGCAGACACGGGTTGTCCTGTATGTGGACAAGATATTTTTGTTGTGAGTGTGCAGAAAGAGGGTGAGCAGGCAAGCCTGTTTGGGGTGGTTGCAGAGGGGTTGAAAGCGTAAGACCGAGCAGAACACAATTTCTATCTCTCTCCTCTATTTTTCAGACCTTCACTGTTATTAGCTCCGTGTGCTCCATCAGACACGCTGTTCTCTCAGTAATCGCAATCAATCCGACCCACTGAGAGCGGGCTAAAATTCCAGCTGTTCTCTTTTCTATGGATTTCTACACCCCGACAAGTTCCTTTCAGTCTTTATTTCTTTCTTTCTCTTTTTTTCTCATGAACAAATGTCACAGAGAGACAGAAAAACAGAGAGATAGATAGATAGATAGATAGATAGATAGATAAATAGCTAGCTAGATAGATAGATAGATAGATAGATAGATAGATAGATAGATAGATAGGAGTATAAGAGTCATGGGAGCAGAATAGAGTGATTAATAATGCAGAATGATTATGCTCTCACAGGTGGCTGATGATAAAAATATCTCCACCCCAGAGGAGGGAGGGATAGCGCGAAGGGGGGAAAGAAGGGGGAGAGGAAATTTGGACACGGTGGGGTGGGTAAAGGGGGGTCTTAACTGGAAAGGAGGGGGCAGGTGGAGAAGCTGGGGAGAGAAAAATAGGATTTGATGAATAGGGAGAGACAGGACGGTAGCATGAGAAAATAGGATTTCTGAGACAGAGAGAGAAGGAGTCTGGCAATGAAAACTAATGTGTCTGTCTGCTGATCTGCTCACCTCCAGCTCTCATCAGGTCTCATTATCACTTGTCGGGCATGGAATTAATTATGCGCTTACATACACACACACACACACACACACACACACACACACACACACACACACACACACACACACACACACACACAGAGGCTAATCTTTGACTGACAGACACAAGTATAAAAAAACTCATATGTCACAAGAACACATGAAAACACATGCATGTGTCAAAAGCCAGACTCTAATTATAAGGGTTGATTATTCTTAGTCATGTATTATGTATTATGTTTGCTTCAAATTAGAAAGAACCGGGCAGAGAGAGTTGGAGCCATTTGGACCATTCTTGTTTTAATCTGTCTCTTGAGAGTCCCCAGTCCTCATGAATAAGTGCTGTTTTTGTGGTTTTTGCAGGTACAGAAATTTGGTTGGTTTGTTATTTTTCCTTGCATGTACTTTGATTGGTGAATTGTTGTTCCACTCTGCTCCAGGGTTTTAAGAACGTTTTTCTTAACCACTGCATTACCCATTGCTGATAAACCCTTACTCCAAACAGTGATTGTCCAGTCATAGCTTAGCATCCGAGACTAGACATGGCAGGCCTGTCAAGCTTTTGATTTACCACATGCTGAAACAATGTCTATGGAGCTGTGGTAAAGCAGTACTCCATACGTTTAGAGAGTTTAGATGGTGACTTTATTTATTTTAAAATCTAATAATACATAACACAATCATAAATCAATCCTCTGTCTTGCTTGTCCAGATATGTAAGATAACCATCCAAACAGGGTTATGTTGGAATGAAATAACAGCTTCCATTTCTCCTTCATCATATTCGTAATAGAAGGGCTCACAAGGCACAATGTTGTTTCTTTATTTCCATGTCTCCTACCTGGATCATTAACTGATGAGGATGCCAAATCTTTTCTCATATCATGATGCCATGTAGGAAGCATCAACTGAATATTTAAGACCCCTTTACATTCTCATTTCAAAAAGAGTCAGATGGAAACATTAAAAAGTCAGCCGGGGACAGTGTTTTCCACCGACTCATTAAGCTAACATTAGCTAAATTATCTACCTAGCCACAGTTGTCATTTCAGCCGCCAGCTGGAAATGAGATTCCTGCTTTTGTCTCCCTCTGCCTGAAATCAAGGACACATTGTCTCAAAAATGACTAAGACTTTCGATGGTAAATCCACCATTATCGGTGTAACTGCACATGTGCTGTGCAAGAAGAGGGCGTGTTCCTTTAGACAAATCCAGATACACACATAAAACAAACACACAGATATATCTACCTGGTCCCAGGGGCTAAGGATCCCTCCTGAGAACATGAACAGGTAACCCATGGTGACCAGACAGGCCCAAATAAGGAGAGAGAAGAGGCGGAGCATCCGCTTGAAGACCGACTCAATGCAGACAAGGATGAAGATGGACAGGAATAGGAAGAGAGCAGCGGGAACCGTGATCAAGAACGTCAAGTGGTCCTCTGTATTCTGGAGAGAGAGAGAGAGAGAGAGAGAGAGAGAGAGAGAGAGAGAGAGAGTGAGAGAGAGGGGCATTTACTGGTTTAAACTGTTTCAGGTTTGGTGGAGCATGTTAGCAAGGAGGACAAAAGAAAGACAATCAAAGAAACATGAACGAGTTCTAAATACTGATTATAAATCAGTTTAAGCCAAAGCTTTCCTTTAACCTTAAACCTAACAGACAGGGTCAAAATAGCAAAACAGACTCCCATTTTTGTGTCCTAGTGAGGACATCCAATCCTCATAGTACGAAAGGTCCAACAAGGGACACACACACAAAAACAGACGGACCACAAATTGGCAGACAGACAGTCTAAGCCCAGGGAATGTGCTACAGCATCACTTCTGCACTCACACTGTCAAAGTCAGCGTTTAAAAGCTGTCAGCACACACACACACACACATACACACACTATTTCTCTCTTTGACCAGACCTCCCTCACCCACCTCCTCATCCTTATTTTACTGGTGTGAAGCACTTTGTGACCTTGCTCCGTGAAAGGCGGTATGTTAAATAAACCTTACTAACTTACTCTAAAGCTTCTTCCTCTCTCTTTCATGTCAGGTTTCCAGTTAAGGAGGATGTACGCAAAAACTGTCCATCCTAACAAGTCCGAAGGCAGTTCAGCTTTTTTCAAGTATTTTCTCATATCTTGGTGTCACAATCTGCTTTGTGAAACTTCTAAAATCAAGTGCAAGTGAGCTCACATAACTGTCAGAATCACAGTAGTTTCAAGAAAAAATGACTTCACATCAGAAAAGAAAACGAGTCCTTAAAGAAAAAAAGCGTATTTCAATCATTCTCACAGTCACTACACTAATATTCTCACCAAACGTTCACGGTAGGATGGATGGTTAATGGGTGAATTAAATTGTTCTCAGTGCGGAGACAGCATGAACCAACGTTCGGGCAGTTATCTGGTAAGATTCAGGAAAGTAAGATTAATCTTTGTGATAAATTATTGGTGTTAACAGAAGAAGACTGCAGCGTATTTCAGTTCCTCTTAGTGTCTTCAACCTGAGAGCACTTCTATCCCTCTAACCTGTCCATGACCTCTGCATGTGCGTGTGTCCTAAGCATATTTCTAATTGTACATTCTGTGATGAAGGTGCCTCTTCTGATTTTGACTGAGAAATGCTTTCATATGCAAAAATCCCATCACACACAAATACGCCCCAAAAACATGCTCACACAAATGTGATCAGGGTAAGGATAAACTACTCTGTACATTGTTTTGCCCTCTTCAGGCTGTGGAAATGACGGAACAGCAGCAAAACCACTGTTATTTGCTGAAAGAGAGGATTGAGAGCTTCCACACACTAAGCTCACTTTCACAGAGTTGTTCCTAACCCGACACCCACATAAACTATTTGAAGTTATTCCGAAGTTATGAGAGCGCTGACAGGTCCAGCAGCTGTAAATGTTAAATTAGCAAGCCACTGTGAGAGTTCATTAGATGTAGCAAATTTTACAGTAAAATGAACATCAGAGTGGGCGCAGAAATGTGTTTGATTCTTTTAACATGTAATTCCCTGAGCAGCTTTTATGTAATAGAAGGAAAAGACGCCACAGACTCAACCTTGAATTTGTGGCTGATTTGACAGTTTATTGACTTCGAGCTGCTTTTTTTTTGAGAATAGCAGAATCTGTTTGGCCAGAGCACACGCAGGGAGAGAGCATTTTGCTGTGTATTAGTGCAGCAGCACGATGTAGCAGAGGTAGCATGAGTCAGAGTCTGGCGAAGGGATCTCACGGGATCTAGCTGCTGACGCCACGCGAGCTATACATCCAGCCTGGAGTGCAGATTGAATCCCAATGAGGATGTAAGCCAAGCAAACTCAAAACACCAGAGGGATACCTGAGTGGACATCAGTGACAAAGACCCTTCCTTTGGCATCAAAACACATTTTGCACAAAGTATATGCTCACACATAACCATGCACAGGACAGGTTAGCGAGGGAGCAAGCCGCTCTCTCCACTTTGTGGTAAGAAAAAAAAAGAAGCATCTGTACTGTGCACATTTCTGATTGTAGGCCATCTAATCCTGTTAAAACCCTTCTGAAGCCATTTAAAGCCATTTCCCTCGACATGGCGCAGAGAGAGGGAGTGTCTGCCTGCAATAATATACTGCATTGTCACCCAGAACAATTATTTCCTTTTTTAGCCCAGTCTGGCTTATCCAGCTATTATACTGGGAGCAAAAATGGGGACCAGGGACACATAGCAGCAGCAGCAGCAGCATCAGCAGCAGCAGCAGCAGCAGCAGAATGAGATGCAGTAATCTAATTATTCAGCAGTGAAATGACACAAACACACCAAATACATCATGTCAGAAAGTGAGGAGAAGGGGAGTGGTGGTACAGAGGCTTGTGGGATGAAAAATTGTGATCGCGTAATCACTTCCCAATGTTTTGGTGCCCGTTTAATATTTTCTCCTGCCTGATGAAGCAGCGCTCTTTGTCAGATTTTGTCAATGTGCTCCCAGCTTGGTTATGAAAACCATCAATAATCACCCAACCTTTCCTCAAGTGCTCAATTCGCAGTGAGGAACGTTAACACACTCCGCTAAAACAGGTCAAAGATTTTTGCCCCAAATTTTTGGGATATAACAGCTTTCAGAGAGGCCCTGCTGTCATGAAATGAAAATTCTGTTCTGACTTCCAACGTTTATGAATATCCTTTGGACAGTTTCAGCCCTGACAGGTGAGTAAATTGTGTTCTGGTGGATCCACACCCAACACATTTCAATTTTATTAACACTGAGTATGTATTGGTATTATTTTTGATTTAATAGCTCTTGAGAGATTTTGTTACTTCAGCTGCGTGATCTTACATCCATTCATCACAGCACCCCAGGGGAGGGCTTCATCAGTACTAGGGGAATAAACGGTCATTTCATAATCCCACAAAAAGATGCCAGAGGGCACAGCAGTGGGCCGGCGCTGATGACTGGATCGAACCAGTTTGAAACTCATCATACAAGCAAAGATTCCCACCGGCCAAATAATACATAACATACATGTGAAGGAAAATGGTGATTTGGGCACTTGTGAAATTATAACTGAGGAAGTTGGTATTCTATCAATAGTAAGAATTCCAGGGAAATCTTAACGTTAGCTTGAAGGCTTAAAGGGCTAATCAGCATAAAATAATACAACAATCACTCATGTCTGTGAAGATTTCATCCAGGTCATAGTTATCCAAGGAAGGTTAAAATCATAAGGGCAACTGCACTGCTTAAAGATCCAAAGTGTAACTCACATGGAAAATCATCTTTAAAATCATCTTGCAACCTTAAAGGGACAGTAAACAACCAGCCTGTCATCACCCAGAAAAACGGCCGTATAGGTCGACTGTGCTGCAGCTTATTACGACCAACATTTACAGTTATTGTCAGTCCGCAACCTCTTGTGGTCCTATGACGGTAGCAAAGGAGGAGGTCAGGTGACCTAGTATAAATAGCGAGAAAGTCTGAGTTAGAAAGTGGACAGGGTGGATGGATGTGTCAAACACAGGACTTTCACTTAGGAGACTGAGGTTTGAGAGGTCCTGTGTGAAATAAAGTCAAAGTTGACTTTAGGAGACTTACGACGTGTGACTTACGTGACTGACATTTCTTGTGGTACTTAACCCAAACCATGATCTTTTCCTGAACCTAACCAAGTAGTTTTGTTGCCTAAACCTAACCAAACTGAAACTTTTTTACAACTTTTTTTGTTGAAAACAACATATGATTACATCCAAATTACAAAGTCCTATAGACAGGTTTCTTGTATACGAACACTACTGGATGCGTGCGCAGTCAGGGGGCAAAAGCGCTTTAGTAGTCGGTCAGAAGACTTTAGATTACACATAGTTTGTAAATTCTTGGATCTTGGAGTTGGATCTGTTTGTTTGTGTTTAATTTGAATATTGATATAATATACGCGACCACGCTGCAGGTAAGCGAAGCCGGACGTAATGTTGTTCAAGTCAGCTGCTAGCCAAAAGGGTAATGGAAGAACAAGGGAGAGAGGCGTTCCTTCCAGAGCTGTACTGTGGTACACTGAGTAATGCCATTTAGCAGATTTTTTTTAAAGCGCTGAAGACTTCTCTTATAAATACATGAGCAAAACAGTAAAGTTAGTCAGACAGTGCCGTTAAAAAACCTAATGCTTCATAAAAATGATAGTTATGAGTTATGAATACACGATCAGCTAAAATGTCGGGATGGACCTGTATAGCCTATACGATGCAGCATCCTCTGGTCTGAGAGGCTGCAGTGTTTTCAGTTCGGCTGGTTGTTGAGTCCTCAGGTTAATTACTGTTCCAGTAAAGTGGATTAATTTTTAAACTGTGCTGCCGAACAGGTTTTCCGTCACTTTTAAGGTTGGGGTGCAGTGGTTGAAAGTAACTGTAACTTAACGAGTAACTTGACTATTTACTTTGAATACCCAGTAATAAGTAAAGTTATATTGTTACTTTTTAAATGAGTAATAAGTAAAAAGTAACTCATTACAATTTCTGAGTAACACTGCAGCTAGATATGCGGTATAAACTGATACACAAAGACAGAGTGCTGCTTTCTGGTTGCGCGCGCATGTCTGTGATAACGTTGCACAGAAACCCGTCTATAGCAGCCATAGTAATTATGACAGGAAGAATGGAGAAAGTCTGATATTATACAATGCCTGCGTAGGGAGGAGGTCGGGGTGGACAGAGCCAACAAAGAACCTAAGACTTTAACACAGGAGACTGCTGATCGTCCCATTTCCAACCGACAGCCCACTTTGCATTTTTACCATGATTGTTCCCTAACCTTTCCCAGCTGTGTATTACAGTAACAAAAGTCCCCTAACCTTAACGGAGTGCTTACTTTAACCCAAAACATGGTCTTTCACTAAAAAAATCTATTACCCAGGATGTAAAATAGCTGGAATTTTGTGTGAAAAGAACCAGCAAATTACTGATGTATCTAAAAATTTAATGACATTGACAATTAAAATTAAATTATGAAAATGGGATTGTGGAAAACCTATTTATTTTCAGGCTGAACACAAAATTTATGCATGAAGTCCTGTATCTGCATGTAAAACATGTGTGCAAGTGCTTTGTGGTGTTACAGCTCTGACCACACCTCAGTCAGTGATGTCACAGCATCTACTTCACCTCATTCATTCACCTTCCAGCCCCGAAGTAACAGATTGGTGATCCATCATTACAAAAACTTCCTGCTCTCACTGTCCCGTGTCTATCAAACTACCAACGAGGTGGAGCGAAATCAGTGTTTGCAGATGCTATTAATATATTATCAACAAATTCTTAAAATACAAAGACTAAAAATGTGATAAATGATAAACTGACAAAAACATGAACTGAAATGAAGGTTAAAGTGAATGATACAAATGTAATCAATGATGTCAATAAGCTTTTATGGCCAGTTCATAGATTTCCAGTGTTCCATTACGAGATTTAATGTTGAGCTCTATTAAACTGTCAGTAGGTTAACATACTGCCATGTAATTGCTGCTTCTGTATAGACTCACACACATTTGGGCATGCAAATGCACACACACACACGCACGCACGCACGCACGCACGCACGCACGCACGCACGCACGCACGCACGCACACACACACACACACACACACACACACACAAATACCTACACACATTCCAATAAATACAACTTCAAGGCATCAAGAAAGAACAAGAAGAATTATTTTCTCAAAAAATTGCAGATAAGCCTAAGAAGGAAATGAGAGACTTCCTCAGACAAACACACCCAAACAACACTCACACACACAGAATCACAAAATGATGTAAGCGTACACATGTATATATAAACACACAGTATGGGTGGAGGAGTCTATGTGGAGAACACCACATTCATCTACTCCAGCCCTGATCTGAGGAGAAAGATAAGTGTGTTCAGTAATTTTAGGAGCATTAGCGTTGCTTTGGTTGGGTTTCTGCTAGCTCACTGATAAAGCCAGAATACTTACAACAACATCCTCCCCTCCCTCCGCCGCCTGACCCCCCTAGCTCCAAACCTAACCTCTATTTATTCCTGCCATTCTTCTTTGTCCAGCAGTAATAAATATACATGCCTCACTGAACAACCGCTCCATAAGTAAAGACAGGTCTGTCTGTCATGTAATAGGAACAAATTGAAAAAAAAAAAAAAAAAGACTTCAATTGACATTGTGAGTGATGGGAATAATTTAACCTTTGAACACATAAGTTGCTGTAGAATGGGTCAGGGCGTACTCAGAAAAAGAGGAGAACCTGGAGGATTAAATCGACCGGTCAGGGGTAATAACATCTATTGATTTGTCTTAAACAGAAGTAAAGGGATCAATTTAGCTGGAGGTTCTCCTGGGAACGGCCTCGTTATGGAGTTTTATTGAATGTAACATGCCTTCTGTGACAGCCTAAAGCAAGTGCATCATTGCAGCGGGGATTGGGGTGTCACGTTGCTCCCAATAAATGTAAAATGGAAAACTGTCCCCCTCTGTATTTGTAATGACCAGTTATCTACTGCCTCCAAAAGGTAAAAAAATGACCTCGGCTTAATATTTATTGTTAAACCGACTCCCAAACACACTGGAAGTTCCCTGATATCGTCCTGCTTTATGTTGGTTTACATGTCAGCGAGCAACAGTGAACACAACACATGACATGCGTGGGTTCTATCTACCTCTCCAACCCAGTTGGTCCAGCCCAGTGTCTGACTGAGTTTTGCCCTTGGCCTCCAGGCGCTACTTGGAAAGCACGTGACGCACACAGAGAGAAAAGCATAAAGTCTACAGATTGTCCTGGACATATAGCAGCAAAACAATCATTTCGAAACAACAACACAGCAATGAGTGGGCATCCTTTTGTACAGCTATTTCATAAAAACACAAAAGCAGCACTTGAGAGACAATAGCTTGTGTTTGTGGTTGAGTGTTTGTGGCCAAAACAACACTTTTCACTTGACAAAAGCACCAACACCCACACAGCTGTGAACTAAACTCTCATCCCGTTGTTGATCCACTCTGCAAACCCAGCGTTGTAATCTGAAGTGCCGCTTCATGGCCTCTTTTGTTGTCACATATATATATATGTACATGGGCCTCCCTGACTCATTCAGTCTCGTGCCGAAACCAAAACTTTCCCTTTATTCTAACACTCTTCTGTGATCCTGACAAGAAGGCCTCTACCTGACACTGATGTATCAACGCAGAATCTTTTGTGGAGCTGTAATAAAATATGCAGCATTCCACATTAAAAACAACCTTCCCAACCGGCAGGCCCTATCCTAACTGCTTGGTAACCATGGTAATAAGGCACAAGAACTAATTTAGGAAAAAGTCCATTACAGATTAACAGTTCCTAAGTCAATATTCCTTTCCTAACTTTAGATAACAAAAGTGTATTACAGAAGCATCCTAACTTCGTAAAATCTTACATAAACTCTCCTAACTTTAGGAGAACTGTTAAGCTGTCCTAACTTTTACTTTTCGACCAGGTAGTGTTTGCTAACTCATTTAATCCACATGGTTGTTCTTTAATTGCTTTAACAAAATGTCAACAGGCGGAACTTGATTGAGTCCACCGATGTGTTTGATGTCAAAACACTCGTTAGTATAAAGGCTGTAGCCGATGTAACGCTAGATAATGTCTCATTATGTAACATAATGTAAAGGCTTGATGTAGCCTAACAAAAGGATCCTAAGTCTTTGATAGGAGGAGATCGTTAAATTCAAGAAATACATAAAAAACATGATGACGTTAGCCAGCAGCCTTTATAATTAGGCTATTAGGCCTTTTAGCCTATTTTTTTTTACCGTCATTATTATAGCCTAGCTTTCCCGAGAAGAGTAGCCTTCTGCCGGGGTCAGTGAGGGAGCACAGGAGGAGCCACCAGTGTTTTCATCTGCTCTTTGGACACAACAGTTGCCTGTGTCTTCATATCACTTATAAATGGACTTATTTTCTACAACATCAGCGCTCTGCTGGATGCCGGATATGTGGCAGAGACTGTGTCTGCTATTTTAGCCCACTCTCTCTCCCGAGTTAAGCGTTATTTGGAGGTTCTGGTTTTCTCGACACAAGTTACAAACACCTCTAGTTCATCTGACTTGAAGTTCAACAATGTGTATGTTTCATTAAAAAAAATACCAAAAAACAGCGACTGAAAGCTGTTTAGCTCGGCGAGATGAGTAAAGAGGCATCGGTTGCTAGGTAACAGACATAAAAGTTGATAACCGATGTTGGATTGAGTATTTAGGATCTCCTAACCTGAGATAAGATAAGATGAAGTAAGATAAGATAGGATTCCTAAAGTTAGTTAGGATTTGCTTCTGTAACACCAAATTGATCTTAGACTCTTCCTAGCTTAACTTAAGACTTAAGATAGGAACTTTCTGTAATGCGCCCCCGGCCTTTATTCTGAAACACTGGACCTGAAATGTAATTTTTTTATCGATAAAGTTCATTATAGAAATAAAGTTAACTCTGGTCTTGCTCTATGACTGCAACTCTGGTTATCGCTCATACCAGAGAAAGTGGAGAAGTGGAACGAGACAAAGAAGGAGGGTTTGGGGTGGAGGGCCAAAATAAAGTAATTACAGTGACATACTTGAATTTCTATGGTGACACATTTAAGTCAAAATACAAACACTCCGTGTGTGCCATACTGTAATGTTGTCTTTTTTAAGTTTTCTTTGTGCTGGCTTTAGTGCAGCTCATATTAAAGGAACATATATTGGGGGAAATGCGCTTTCCAGTATTTGCTTTGTTTTAAGCTTTGTTTTGTTGAAGTGATTAAACACATGAGGTGTAACATGTTAATGTTAATTAATGAGCTGTAGAAGGGCTTCTGAACTGTCAGAGAGAGCAAGGCTAGCTTGTTTCCAGTCTTTATGCTAAGCTAACTGTCTGCCGGCTCCGGCTTCATAAGGATTGAACAGACATGAGAATGTTATCTTTTTATCTCTCCCTCCAGAAGAAACCAAATAAGCGTATTTATCAAAAAGTCAAACTATTCCTTTGAGTGCCAACTTCTTGTTCTATTAATTTTAAATATGAAGAAAGAAGTGATTTCTGATGCTAAGAGAGCAAAACATGTAAATGTCACAAACTGCCACAGATTAGGTTGTTACTACTGTGAAACTGTTGTGATAAGAACAACAGTAGTAACATTTCCTGATGTGCTGTCTTTTATATATTAACTAGATGAAACTACACTAAGTAGACAAACACACACACACACACACACACACACACACACACACACACACACACACACACACACACACACACGCACACACTCACTCACCAGTCCTGAAGCGAAGAACACCGCCAGCAGCGCGAGGCAGGTTCCCATGACGATCAGCAGCAGGAACACGATCAGCGGATGCTGCTGGCTCATTCTGTAGTAGGACTCATAGAGCCAGTCCTGGGGCTTCTCGCCCTCCACGCACACCTCGCTCTGGAAACCCGGGCACCCGTCTCCCAGGCCCTCGGGCCCCTCGGCACCCTCGCCGCCATCGTTCTTCTCCAGCAAGTAGCGTCCGTGGGTCCACAGAGCCTCCTGCCACATGGGTAGCTGCCTGTGGAAGGACGGCCCTGCTTTCTTACTGACCAAAACACGTGCTGAGGGATGCTTTCACTCCCTTTCCTCCTCACGCTTAAAAAGTCCACCTCCTCCTCCTCTTGGTTTTAAAAAAGTTTGCTCAGCTGTGTGCGATGCATGGACAGCTGAGTGAGGGAGAGACAACTTTTCACCTCATCTGCTTTCCCTTGCATCCTCTGCCGCTCCTTCTGCTTGATGTGACAAACTGAGTCAGGACGGTGTGAAAACGGATCTTCCTCCTTCTCCTCCTCCACCTCCTCCTCTTCCTCTCAGCAGAAGTGGCCAGACACCAAAGAGGAGAGATGAGACTTCAGTTCCCTTCCTCTTGCTTCTCCTTCTTGTTTGCTCTTTATATTTGGCCAGTCGGATGGAGAGCAGGCAGCCTCTGCTTACCGCACGGCGCTGTAGCTGCGACGAGGCAACATGTTACTCTGCTGAGGTGCAGATGAGGACTGAGAGAGAGAGAGAGAGTGTGTATAACTGGGAGGGAGAAAGGAGAGAGAGAGAGGAGCGAGGGTGTGTACCAATGCCTGTGGTGGGGAGAGCTAGCGGGTTAAAGTGTGTGAGTGTGTGTGTGTGCTGTACCTATCAGAGCGAGTGGAAATGTGAGAATTGTGATGTGTGAGATTAGCCTATGTGGAGAGAGGTGGTATATGACTCAAGACAGTGTGTGTGTGTGTGTGTGTGTGTGTGTGTGTGTGTGTGTGTGTGTGTGTGCGTGCGTGTGTGTGTGTGTGTGTTTGCAGGGTACAGAAAAATGAAGAGAACTACAACTTTACATAAGAGAGAAACCGCAGCGTGTGTGAAGTTAGAGAGGAAGAACTAGAGTGTGTTTGTCAGCAAGTGTTTGTGTGAGTGAGCGAACATGAGTGTGTGAGAGGGGTTGTAACAGCTGTGCAAAACCAAGAAGAGCAGCAGAGCGTGGATGGAAAGAGAATAAAATGCCATCCAGCAGCCGGTGACGAGATAAAAAGGCGGGCAGGAAAATCACATACACATACGGGGGGAAGGATGGGGAGGACGAGGAAAGAAGAAACAAAGTCAGGAAGGAGAAACCTCGGGAGACAGAGAGAGTGTGGGAGGAAGAGAGATCGGTGCTTCAAACGGAGGGGGGAAGGAGAGAGCTGATAACGAGTGAAAGTTTGAGAGCGACAGCGCCTGTATGTGTGTGTGTGTATGTGTGTGTGTGTATGTGTGTGTGTGTGTGTGTGTGTGTGTGTGTGTCGGCGGTGGGAGTAAAATAAGATCTGACGAACCCAAAATCCCAATATTCCTCTCTTCCTCCCAGCTTTCATTTCTCTCTCTTTCATTTCGACTCCCGTTCTGCCTCACCAGGCTCCCTCTCTGCCCTCTTGCCATACTACATGTGATGCTCTGTGAAGTGTGAAAAATGGCCGTGCCACTTCAATGTGTCAAATTCACATAGTTTCCTCTTAGCACGCTAACCAGACAGAGGGAGAAAGAGAGTCTGTATGCTAAAGCCAAGCATACAGCGTATCTGATGATGATAAACACTGCTGAAGGTCATCTTTAGAACCTATAGGCTTTACATTTTCTGATAATAGCTCAGTGGTGATGTTATCCAGGGTGAAAATAAAGGCAACAGGCCTCTGTCCCAGAGCACTGAAAATTACAGTCAGCCATCAGCAAAGCAGCAAACACATTATACCCACTGAATAATGGACGCACCCTGTGGTAAAACTGGTAATAACTTATACAAAGTGAACAGACTTCACAAACGTGCTAGCGGCTCTGTGAGCTTGTATGAGGGCACAACAGTGCTTTGAACTGAATTTTAACATTAGCCTGTTGGAATGCTCACTATAACAGCGTTAAAATGCTGACGTTTAACAGATGTTTAATAGAAAATGTTCGTCATGGTCACTATCTTAGTTTAGTGAGTTAGCGTGCTAACACTTGCCATTATGCACTAAACAGCTGAGGCGGACCTTTGACCTAAAGATGGTGCCAGATTAAAAGTTAGGGAACCACCAAAGTTATCACAGTTCATCCTGATGAAGTCCAGATGAAAGGCTGTACCAAACCTGGTCTGGGGATCTGCACAACATTTTTTGGCAATCTATGCCAGTTTTTCTCAAACTTTTTCACATCAAGGACCCCTAAACTGACACAAATTAGACCACGGATGCCCATTTGGTAAGATTTTGCCCAGGGTCCCCTATCTGATAGGATTTTTGTTTTTAGATGTTTTATTACAGGAAGTGTATGAAACCCATGACCAAAGTAAGCATACGTCATGTCAGTATGTTAGTTATGGATGGAATTACAGTGATAATAAATTATTACCCTTTTTGCTGGGGGCCCCCAGGGGAACCTCCTCAAGGCCCCCTGAACCACTGATCTATGCAACATTTGGACCGAATGACCATACAGCAAACAGACCGATATTAGCATCCCTAGCAGGAAAAACATAAATGCAATTTGGGCTGTTTACAGTATGTTGCCTTGCTTTGATTGATGGCACGCATGATGTTGTCAGTACTTAAATGAAAAGGCTCATTGATGGCCCTGAGGGCACATTATTACAACAAGGACACCTGGGTTCCCTATATTTCATGTAATTCGACTTGTCAGTTGCACCCCCTCCAGGCTTTTGGTGTAATTTTGAAAATCCCGGAATGCAACAGTGAACTTGTTGTAAAAATCTGATTAGCTGTATGTGTGAAAACTTAATGGACTTACTCAGGATTCACAGCTGGATTTTATGGAATATTTTCAGAAAGAGTGCAGAACAGGGAAATCAATCACTGTGGAGACAGCAACATGGTGAGAAATTCATACAGAATCACTATCCAACTGGCAAATGTAATGACAATAATGACAGTGATAATGATAATGATACCCACATTATCATGTCCTGCTGCACATTAACTCTCAAGCTACCAAAATATTCTCCACATATATGCTCTGTCAAGTGACCTCTAAAAAGAGAGATTCTCATGTTTTAATCATGTTGTAGAATACAAAAAGAAAACTCCATGCGGGTCAGTAATGCTTTGATTGTTTTGATTAAAATGCTGTTATTATGGTCAGAACTGTAAGTACCGTTTAGCTGTTGACTTTAATCTTTTTCAAGAATCCATCCATTCAACAATTGTTTATAGCAAAAAAAACCATACATTAAATAAAAGCTGCAAGAGGCAATTTTGTGACCACTAGAGAGTAGAAATGACACAAAAAATAGCGTTTTGTCCCCATTCAATACTTACTTGGGTTTTGAGAATGTATTACATTACATTTATTCACAGATGCAAATATATGCAGCAGATGCAATGTATTAAAGAGGTAGTATTATGTTTTATTTATCCTTTATTGAGTTATATATCTTTTTTGTGCATGTAACAGGTTTGCAAAGTGAAAAAGCGCAAAGTCCAGCCCAAAGGGAGTTCCCATCTCCCACAGAAAGCTCTGCTCTGAACCGCTTGTAAACAGCTCATTTGTAGTCCAGTCCTTCACTTCCTTTACTTGTGACGTCACAATGAAAATGCGTCATAAAGCTTGCCAAGCAGCTATCGGGTCAGGCACGCCCTCAAACCAAACTAGTCTGAGCGGAGTCCCTTTGGCTCGACTCCCGTTTGTTTGGGTTTCCATCGTAGAAATGTTGTACCTGTACCTGCTTCCAGGTACTTTTTTTCGTATCACCTCACCTCTGTCGAGGTTCCAAGCGAGCTGAGGGATACTAAAATGTAACTTGAAAACAGCTTTAGCATTGGTCAGAGAGAATATTCACTATTCACTGCATCATCATTGCTGCACCAGACAGAGGCCAGCAACAGAAAGTTTTATATTTTACAGTTTTGTATGTAATTTCATCACTAAATCCACTTCTGAGAAGTTTTGAGGCGAGAAATCAGCTGTGTAGATGTCGAATATTGACAGTTTTACGAGAAGTGATGGCGGAACAAAAATGTGCTTGAATATTTTTGGCAGAGGAAAACACAGCTGGAAGGTTTTCATACCGCTTATCTGTCTTTACAATCTCAGTAATGTTGAAACATTTTAACCGTAGATATATTTTAAGAGCTGGTGTGTGTGTCGCATTGAACATTATGTCGCGGCAGTTGTGTGTGGCGTCGCTATGACGACAAGCTACGTACTATCTCTGGGTACTATCTGCAATGGAAAACGGAGCAGGGCTGAGTAGAGTCGAGTCTATTGATTTGCGCAATGTAATCATTTTTCGGCAAGGCAGCATAGATCGTCAGAACACCGGCAACAGTTCAACGTTTAGTCCTAATGGTAAGATGTGGAACAATGATGTTGTGTGGTTACTTAAGACCAATACAAAAAAAGGATTTTTAGAAATGTTGGCCAACTGAGAAATATGAACATGAAAAGTATGAGCATGTACAGCACTCAATACTTAGTTGGGGCTCCTTTTGCCTGAATTACTGCAGCAATGCAGCGTCGCATGGAGTCGATCAGTCTGTGGCACTGCTCAGGTGTTATGAGAGCCCAGGTTGCTCTGATAGTGGCCTTCAGCTCTTCTGCATTGTTGGGTCTGGCCTATCGCATCTTCCTCTTCACAATACCCCATAGATTTTCTATAGGGTTAAGGTCAGGCGAGCTTGCTGGCCAATTAAGAACAGGGATACCATGGTCCTTAAACCAGGTACTGGTAGCTTTGGCACTGTGTGCAGGTGCCAAGTCCTGTTGGAAAATTAAATCTGCATCTCCATAAAGTTGGTCAGCAGCAGGAAGCATGAAGTGCTCTAAAACTTCCTGGTACACGGCTGCGTTGACCTTGGACCTCAGAAAACACAGTGGACCAACACCAGCAGATGACATGGCACCCCAAACCATCACTGACTGTGGAAACTTTACACTGGACTTCAAGCTACGTGGATTCTGTGCCTCTCCTCTCTTCCTCCAGACTCTGGGACCTTGATTTCCAAAGGAAATGCAAAATTTACTTTCATCAGAGAACATAACTTTGGACCACTCAG